ACTGTTGTCGGACATGTTGAGACTTGCTCCAGCAGACGCGGCCTATGCGATGATGGTGCGACCATTTTTACAGCAGAGGGCGTTAATATTTGTAGACTCCCCATCGGTTGTTCTCGAGCAGAATCAGCAGCTCCTTGACGCAGACCGTGTCCGACGGCAACAATTCTATGACCAGAATCGAGAATGAGCGGTCGTGGGCCTGAGTGATTCGTTCAGCCGGAATATTCGATTCCTGACTGACTCCCCCATTAACGGCATCTGTCTCTGCGATAGCGAGCAAGCGATGTGAGGGAAGAATGCCCACCATGGACTGGCTGAGTGACTCCGCTATCGAGTACATTCTTACGGACAAAAGTTCGGAGCGGCTTTGGTGAAATTTAACCTGCTTTTGAGAAGGTGAACAAGCGAGCAGACCATCCGGCGCATCGCTCTCACAAAAGAAATTCGGAGGACGAATTTTCTCGGACACTTCCATTCCCTAAGCCCCATAGAGGAGGACCTTGCGGTGGAATGCAAGCCGTAAGAGAGAGAGAGCAATCCAGAAAATATGAACGGAGCGTTCCATGCCATTGTTCCCCTCAATGAAGTCGAGGACCCGGCGCAAGGCAGTGGAAATCCGCGCAATCCATCCGTCGGTCCGTTCGACTAGAAACGGAGCCCTGGAAACTCGGCGTTCCCGGGGGAGAAACCGGTTCCGCGAAACTTCTTAATTTTAGCAGGTCTTCTTAGACGCTTCGACAATAATTCTTGATTTCTTCCACGCTCTGCCAAGTCGAATAACGTACGGGGGTTTGAAAGGCCGCGAGGCCGGAATCTCCCAAGCAGTATCGGCTCCGTGATATTCAAGTGGTCGTCTTAATATTTGTCGATGTCCGCAGCCGTTGAGCCTTGTGCTACCCTTGATGATGTTCGTCCCCCCTGTGGTTTCTGCCGGCGGCCCACCGAGCTTGTAGCTTGCATGAGAAGGAGATTGTCGCACACAAAAAGTGAACGAGCAGGTCTGGGCATGAGCTGCAGGAAACAAATTGAAAGTCGAGCTCCCATCATCGAAGCATCTTGACGTGAGTTCTCGCTCCCGGCGCCTCACACTTGACGGGACTGTCGCGAGGCCGATGGCTCGGTTCCTCCTCGCGTTAATCTATCATCATAGTCAATTTTTTCCGCCTACATCTTATTAGATGTCATCCGGGGACAAAAACTACGTGCATAACGCCGAGAGTCATGAACGAGTCTGGTGCAATCTCGATTGGCGAATCCCTTCTTCACAACCCGGACTCTCACCAGGACCGGGTTGATAAGGCCCAGAAGTGGCGGCTCTCATCACGGCTTTCCTTATGGATCACCGTGCGCTGGACCATTTTGAGGGACGGTTCTCGACCTCATCGTACCGCTGCATCGCCCGGAAGCCGAGGTGAATGGCGTCGGCATCGTCAGAGCTATGAAGTCGTTAGTGACTAAAAATCGAACGGCCTATCGAATGCAGAACAAGATGCCGTCTTCGGCTCAATCCTGAATTCCTCTTACGGCGGTGCCTCCAATCTCTCTGTAGCAAGCAGTATCGAATGCCGCTGAAATCGATGGAGATTCTATCGGAGACTAAGTCCGTCAAGCACCGGAAATTCAGAAAAAAACGTGATCCTCGTGCCGAGCCTTGCGGCTCACTCGTCTTGTCTCCGTCCGAAGCTGCTACCCACAAAGTAATTTGCACCTTGCACCATCATTTGCGAAATTCGATCGGATATCGCCATTTGAACTGACGAGGTCGGCAATAATGGTCTAGGAATCTATCTCCGCTGACCCTGAACGCTGATGGCCAACGCCTTCCCAGTAGAATCTAATTTTGAAATATGTAGCAGCACGCATGGCTGCTCTACGGGAAGGCACGCGACAGAATTCAACTCGAGCTTAATTCAAGATTAGATCGAAATCATTACGATTTCCTCGAGGCCTTCAGCCTGGGGCGGTCAGCGCCATCGCCCACCTGTGGGCTGTTTGACGGTTGAGGGAACTTCAAGCTAGCTCTCGAGCGTCATTCAAGACACTGCCGATGGTGATTGGGATGAGCCTTTGAGCTCGTACGCTGCCGGTGTACGTGCCTCTACGTACATGCCCCCCATTCGGGAGGCTGGGGTATGTACGTATATACACGAGATCGTCGATAACTGGCCGCCTCCGGCAAGACTCGTCGGAGACTGAGCAAAGGAAACAAGCGCCACCGATAGGCCGGGCAAGGGGCGGAACGCTCGAGTGGATTTTTTCAAAAAAAAAATGAGAGGCGCCTCGTCATCTCCGAAAGTGGCGCCACGCAGCCACTGGGCCTAGTCGAGCACCTACACACTGGAACGAAGGAAATATTGGACGAATCAAGCACACATTGCATTCAAGCACAAAACGAGCCCCGACGTCCCGAGAGTGATGTATGTAGGTAACGAAAAAGGCTGCGAAGGTCTCGACGCATCTGTTGATCGGAGCCATGCGGTGACTCGAACGAGGTCACTGTGGCCTCCTCCGAAGAGAACCCGGTAGCGGCCCTTATCGGCGGATACGCACCACAGTCGGAGGACCTTCGCGAAGTTCCACGGGTCGAGTTGTACTCGTGTCGAAACCTCGGCGCTCTGCTTTCGACGCCAACGTTTTTCATGCGTACGCCGTCGGTCTCCTATGCATGCACACGCACTGGACTACTCGCGAGCTCTGGTCTGCTTGGATATGCAGAACAAGCCGTGTCGACGGGTTCCACTGGGCTGACTCTCCTGACAGGCGTCCTTTTTTCCCCTGCTCGCACCTGAATACGTTGTTGTCAAATACTCCACCTTTTTGACCGGATTAGAACCGCTGGGAATGAGGTTCTCCGATCCTCTGCTTTCTGGGAGTGCCACGCTGCCGCTGCCGGTAGAATTCTAGGAGCCACGCAAGCGATGGCCGTTCGCATTTGTCGGAACATTTTAGGGAGCGAACTAGGCATCGATATACCGCGTAGAGTGAACAATCGAGACTGGTGGCAGATATTTTCTGGACAACGTGGAATCGGGCGCAGTTCGCAGAGTCGCTTATCGTATCAGAAGTGAGACCTTACCGTCGTCGCCGTTATCACCTACTCGAGTGGGAGGGATTCTGCTCCATGATGTGCAGCTGATTCCGTCGCGCTTCCGCATCCACTGCGAGTAGCCTGAAAGCCCTGGGGAGAAAGGGCGCGGCTCATCGTTTTCGATCTCACCTTTTCCGATTCCGGGTTGGGAGTTGCCATTCAGACAAAGCACAGACATATTCCATGAGATCTCTTCAGCGAAGGAAGTCCCTGTGGTCTGAGCGCCATTGCTCGGCCGAACTCCTGACGGTCTCCGATTTCGCCCCCATCAAGCATCTGGTAAATTTCGCCAGGAGCCGTCAAGAACAGTCGGGTACACAATGGGATAGCACAAATGCGGGAGGGCTATCCCCGGTAGGGATGTCGATGCCGGCATTCTTATTTTCTTTCGCGTCTCGCCTGCTTAATCTTTCGCGGGGAATACCCGCAGAGCGTTTCCGTTTTCGAGGGTGCGAGATTCTCGACGTCCGAGCGCTGACGCCTTCAGAGTTGCTTGACTCCAGTCGCTCCGCGCAGGCGGAGCTTTGCGTCTTCAAGATGTATCTCGAGGGCCAGCTGGAAGACGAGTTTCGCACGACGGGGAGGCGGAGAGGGAATAGCACAGGAAATAGGAGAAGGCAAAAACCGAATTTCGGCTTTGCTTTCGCCACGAACCGACTGACGGACGCAGAGAGAGCCGGGCGGACAGACGGAATTGGTCGGTCCCTCCTCGTGTGTATTCCAGTGGTATCACCGAGGGGGAACAAGTTGGAAGGAAAAGCAGAATAAGAGAAACGGGGGAACAACGAAGAGAGGCTGTTCCGTTTCTGTGGCCGCAGCGACGGATTCTGCTGCAGCTACATCTTCGAGCGGTTGAGGGGCTGAGTGACATGTTGCGTGGAAGTCGTTTGTTCCTTCTATCACTCGTTGTATGCAAATTCTCCTCTCGCCGGAATGCTCCCGGTCGGTGAGCTGGTGCCTCGATCGGGCGACGCTCGCGTCGGTCATCTGAGCGACCAGCAAACCAGCCCATCAGCAGACAGGCAACAATGCTCTCTAAGCCAGCCGATCTTCCTCGTTATTCACCAACACCACCCACTGTTCCCGTTCGAGTGTGGAGCCTCTGAAAACCGTGGGCCGCCAGTCGTGCGAATTCCAGCCTGTGGCGTATCGAGAGAAGCAACGTAGAGGAGCTGATCGCCGATTCGGGAACTAACAACTCCGATCTGTACGAAACTCACGATCGGAGCGAACCTCTGAGGACCTGCGCGACTAGTCCGACGTCGACGCAACGTCGTTTAGAACGGCGGCGTCGCAGAATAGAATACGCACGCATTCGGATCGATGTTCATTCCATGTTTTATTGATAAAGCCGAGGTCTGTTCTCGGAAGACCCACGCGTGGCAATCGAAAAGAGTGGCCATTTGTTCTGTTTCGATGTTTGAATGTTGCTTCACGTCGAGCTCTGCGTGCTTTTCTATTTGAGTGCAGATTGTGAGCAGCCAAGCGTATAAGAGCCTAATCCTTCATCATAATAATAAGATGGCAGACCGACCGACCGACCGGCTGCCCGGTCGACCTCTTTGGCCACAATATCAACAAAGATTACAAGCATAATAATATTCCCGAATCTGCGGCTAGAATCCACCTCGTCAGAAAGGTCGCGTGGTGAGAGGATAAACATCTCTCGGGCGGAAATACATGCGCAGAGATATATTCGAGCATTCGTGTTCGGTTATGCGAGCGCAAGACACTTCCAGACGGATGACGGCAACGTCTGAATACGACACGGGGCGGCTGCGAGCCTGCGGGCTTCGTCATGCTGCGGTTTCTCCTGTTCATCCGACTCGACCAGCCTCGAATATCGCAGTACATATGCACATATTCGAGTATGCCTTGACGGAGGAACTACAACGTGTCGCTCTGCTTACAGGTCACCGCACGAGACAAGGACTGCACCCCGAAGAAATCCGACATCTGCAAGTACGAAATCGTGTCTACGGACGATGACAAGGCCGCGCCTTTCCAAATCGACGCAGAAGGGAACATCCGCAACACGCGACCTCTGGTTTACGAGGACAGTCACAACTACATCTTCGAGGTCGTGGCCTACGACTGCTCGATGAAAACGAGCAAACCCGTGTCGGTGTCCATCACGGTGCAGAAGGAATGCCACATGCAGTGGAGCTCCATCGCTCAGCAGGTTTGTACCCCCTTGTATATCACTCTTCATTCAGCTCTCAATCCACCGATACACGGTCACATTCAACCCCAGGGGCTCCAACGCCGAGAACTCGTCGAGAGCAGCCGTAGCCCTCTTCACCCCGGCGATGATCGCGGCTACGAACCGGACGTCGATCGCTAACTCTGACAATGGGGCGACTATGTGATATGATTTCGGAGGGACCCGGGGAACGAGCTGATCATTGCAGCTCTGTGTGACAGAAGTCGGCTGTGTTCGGATAGCTATTTCCTAGATCAACATTTCGATCGGCTACGGTTGCAAAAGCCTCAGTCAGACGTGCCTTGCCTATCAGGGCATATTGCGGCCGGAGCCGTCCGTTCGACCGATCGTGGCCGACCCTGTGGGCCAGCGGTCAGCGACAAACAAGATAAGAACGACTTTCGCTTTCTCTCCTGCTCATCTCTATTGGCAATGGGGATCTCCCAGAGGGGGGAGGGGGTGGAACGAATCCGTAGGAGATGGCTCATTCAGTTCCAGAACGAACCTGGATTCCAAATCACGACAGTTTCGCGTATTCAGTCGGAGCTCAATCGATTCATCAATCGGTCAATCGTCCATCCAGATCTCATCTTATCGGACTTCTCGCTGATATGACCGGGAATATCCCATCGGAGTCCTGGCGTGAAAAGCAGGACATCTAATCGACGCTCCGACTCTCCTTCCGAGGCTGATTTATCGGTCAGATTCGTCGCCTTCGCTCGGGAACAGCTGTTCACTTGTGGGCCGCACGGAGAGCGCAATAGCGTTGGAGACATGCCAGAAGTATCCGCTTCTCGCACGCAGAAGGTCGACCGATGAATGTTCAGGAAGACACTTCCTGATAGAAAGAGAGGAACCGTCTGACGGAGGCAAATCCGAAAAGCGGGCTTAATGAGCGTTTTCCAGAACAATTACGCCGGTTTCGAACGCTTTTCATGAGGGGCGCCTCTTCCGCGTCGCGCACAAAATCATGCCGATCCGAGTTGACGCAGCGAGATTTCCTCAGCGAACTTGCTTGCTCGTGCATCGGCGGCTAATTGCATAAACTCCATCGAATCCTGACCTCGCCACAGAAAGCACAACCTTATCGCAGCGGAACACCTTCCTATCGACTGTTGAGGGAATTCCAGGGACGCAAAAGTCTAATTTGTCGACAGCCACGTTGCTGATGAACGAGGGTGCACGAGCAGCAGCGATTTGTTGGTTGTTAGGAAATCGTCGGCGCGCCCGTTCATTCGCTCCCGTTCGCCGTCGTCGTCCCGGAATATCATTCGAGGCTAGAGGGAACGGGGATACAGGGACGCTCTGGGCGATGCGCAGAAGGGCCAATAACGGTGGCCAATTTGCGAACGACCGACGCGAAGTCCGCTCTGTGGCAAGCGCTCGGGCGCGGGTGGGCGGCCGAAGCGACAGGCAGACGAGCGAGCGAGCAGACGCGACTCTTAGGGGATTTCGTTCCTCGGGAACGAGCGAGATCTGAGGCTCCGGGGGAATGCTTCGGGGGAAAAAGAGCAAGAAAACAGGGGGAATTTCCTCTCTTTGCGGAGCCAATTCGACTTAAATGAAAGCTCAGCCGGTTGACGTCGTTGTCTTTGTTCTGTTTGACGCAAACACGAAGTCGGCGAGCGAGCGGCACACGGGGAACAAACTCAGTTGCCGCGGAGAAAAAATCTCATTCGCCCAATTCGGGGACGAACGCCAGTGCGAATCAAAGAGGGTATTCCGTTGTGTTCGCTCGCTTCGTGATCGAAAGTTGGAATGTCATTTGATTTATTCTATTCGACGATGCAGAGCCGGAGCACGCCATCGTCTCGCGCATGTCACCGCACATGAGCTCCCCTGAAAATCCGCTCCGGGCTTCCTCAAATGAGCCTTCCGGGCCCGTGGATTTTGTTGTTGCTCGGCGGGCTTTATTGGATGTTCTACAACATCGTACAAGCGTTCCGTGCGTAATAACTATCTATTTATGAAGTTGATCAGTTAGCGAGCTATTAACCTCATTGTACCACATTCGTTTATTGCCATGGCCTCGGGCGAAATAGGCTCCGGTAGGGTCAAGCGAAGCGGCTCTCCGGGCAACGGGGGTTCCGATCGGGAGACTAGAAGGTATGACTTGGCCGTTGATGAGAATTCTCTTTCATTCATCCAGCGGGCACAGAGCTCGGGACGGCCGTCGAGGGCTCTCTTGAGGCAGAACTAATTCTGAGAATGTTCCCGCCGATCTAGCGGCAGCGTCGGCTACGCCAGCGCTTGAACCGGCGAAAAGCAAAACTCCTCCGGCTCCGCGGAATCGACTTGAGATGAATTTGTCTCGCTCGGAACGATCATCGATTACATGAAGGAGACTTCCCATCGGGATGTTGGGGATACAGAGAGTGAGGGAACACGGCGGCGACGACTGAACTGGTCTCGTCTTCTAGCGATCGTTAAGCGAAACGGTGCGAGACGACTTGGAAGGCTGAGCTCCTCTAGAGTTTTTCCTCTCCCTCCCGGAGTTTGAAGATGAGCGGAACAGCATAACCAGAGGATGAGTGGAACAGAAAGCGAATGGGGACGAGGGGCTCAGAGGAAGCCGGCGAGAAGAGTTAACACAAATTAAAACACAGCTCGACAACTTCCCTCGGGCAACGTGAAGTTTTCCAGTGCTCCTGATGAAAGGAGCAGGAAAGACTGAGGACCAACCGGGAGAGAACCCTGCACGGTCGTTCGCTTGTCTGCCTCCCGGTAGGGTCGGCTGCCAGCGAGTGAGGAATATCTTCAGATCATCAGCGCACGGGGAAGCTCAATACAAAAGAGTGCCCCGCCCTGGAAACTCTGATCGAGAGGAAGCGTCGGCACTGACGGCAGGGAAGGCTCCGAAGTCGAGTCCTCACAGAATCTCGGAGCAGTTATTGCTTTCGATTGATGCAAACCCAGCCTGACGCATTGAACTCACTCGAGGCGCTATTTGAGCGATCAAGCTCCGACTCGAGTGTTTACATTCTCTATGGCTTTCTAAGACTCATTCCCGATTCATGCGAGGAGAACAGAACCTGTCCGCCGCGGCGGAGGAAAGATGATTATTTTGTTGGCCACGCTTTTCGCTTTGGATCATCGATGAAGCTCGGGAATTCAGGCTTCATCCATCGATCACCTTTATTCGTACTCACGATTCCGGTAAATATATCAGCGCCAGAGAAACCGAGGGGCACTCGATACCTTCGAGGCTGAATACGTTCATCCGAGAAAGTGCGACAGTAGGCGACTGAAATCCAATCGAGGCCGGAGTTTCCATGCTCGAGTTCATGATCCGGATGTGAGCGATGTATGGGATGCTCCTGCGGTCCCGAACCTCGACGAGCGCTTTAAACTCGGAGTTCCGTGACAATAGAGGTCACGGAGCGGTGGGGAGCAGCACAGTTGAGGAAGAATGAACACACGCCAGTTCTCCAGGGGAGTTCCATCTGGCTTCGAGACTTGTAGTCCTCCAGAGAATGCCAGCACTTCCGAGTTTGCAGCTGGGAGCGTTATACCGTTATCTCTGCAGCATGATGCCGCCGCTTCTGCCTCCGGTGGTAACGCTGGTCCAAGTTGGTGTCGGGCGCGGTATGTTTCGCTGGAGTGGATGTCGATAACGCGATTGTTACTTCCCTGAATTCTCTCTCACGAGCCAGGAGCACACGAGCGAGTTGCTCGCGCGCCGTCACCTGGCTATCTTGCGCCTGTAGTTAGCAGGAAACGAGGCCGCCGCACCGCTGTGCTTTCAAACAAGGACCGCGAGCAAGGAACCCCTGAACCCGGCAGGCAGCCTCCGGCGACATAGTAATCTATGATTTTTTCGGGTGAAGCGATGGGGACGGGTCTTAATCCGTGATTCATTTTTGTGCACTCAGATTTTTCCGTGGAGAAGAATAAAAAGTCGCGGCGATAGAAGTTCCCGAATTCTTCCGCTAAGCCGCGCCGTTGAATCTTCCGGTAACGATTCTGATGGCTGAAACCTTTTTGTCTCCCTCCGTGGAACCGAAGCTCCCTCCCGGGACAGTTCAGAATTCCGTACGCGCTTCCGAAAAGCTCGGCTTGTTCAAGGCTCGGTGGCCATCCTTTCAGAGTCCGAGGTCCGAATCCTCGCGGTTCGGAGAACGAATCCTTTCAAACCTCGTAACAGAGTGACCGTCTCCTATTCTCCCCTTACAGATCGACTACACCGGCGGCTCAGTGTCGCTTTATGGAAATGCTCAGCTGGACACCTGCCCGTCCGACTGTGAAATCGACGAGATTTTCTCCAAGATTCAACTGGACACGAAACACATCGGCAAAGGTTGCGACCGAGACACCTACTCGGTTCGGAGCCAGAGGAAGCTATGCAACGCTAACACTAGCGGTAAGTATCCGCCATTTGTCAAACTCTGCGAGCGGCGCGCTGCCACTAGGCAGCAGTGGGTAATTGTGTACGTAAATTTCAACAAACTTCCTGAATACGAAACGAAGTGCCGAGAGTGCGAGAGCCGATTTTTCCTCGGGTTTCCATCTCGCTGTGCCGACTGTCGCGTGAAGAATTCGCTCGACTTGATGCAGGTTATTTTTTTTTCTCTCGCTTCGAGAATCGAGTTCTCTCGACGGGTCCCGCCGTACGACCGCCCGCACGAGTAAGCAGCTCAGTCAGAGCTACAGCTCATTTGCTACCTTATAGCGCAAAAGGACGCCCTTCACTCGTCTGGTTTCCAACTCCTCCTTTGAGAGTTCTGGATCATCATCAGCCCGAACGAGAATCATTCCTAACATTTTCATTAATCCACGCCCTTTCACTGATCTCCGCGAGGGATATCCGCGAGGGTGCGAGACGGATATGTTTTCGGAAATCTCGAATTCTGGCACGACGTCGTGCCCGGAACCACCGATGCATGTTGCGACAGAAACTCGAATTGTATATTAGCGAACGTCGAACAGGATGCTTATCTGTGAGTTCGGGTGTCAATATCGGGGATGCGGCCCCTCGGCCGTCTCCTCAGACAAGGCACAGGGCCCGACATTGGACAGATGCCATCGTTTATTATCGGAAGCTTTTTCTCTCCGAATTTCGGGTAGAGCTTGCTCTCCGAAATCGTTCCGCCGCCGACCGGGAGTTGGAAGCGTGGCGAGGTTTGTGCGGGAGTCGCGGCTCGAGATAAATTCAAAGAGAGTCAAGAGCCCTGTAATCCAGGCTCCGCAGAAGCCTCGATGAGCATCGAGGCCGTGTATGCGGTTGACGCTTTTGCACGAGACTTCTTGCAACCATACGCGTCGGCAGGCTCGACGCTCCCGGAGATGTTCCGGCTCCGCGCCAAGAGATCGCGCCGAATTTACGGGGATCAATACAGAGACCGTCAGAAATTCTTTCCCGCGCTCTGAGGCGCGCGGGCCTTGTTTATGTTGCTCTATCGGAGGTATGTATGCACACTCATGACATGTGCACACGCCGGCCTGATGCTCTGATCCTGGATCCTGTCCTTACGTAATGAAAGAGTCTTTTGTTCACAAACAATAGGTTCGAGAAACAAAATGAAGCGGCGACGGTGGCGGCAGCAGCCGAAAGGGCATTGAGGGAGTGAGTGGACCACCGCTTCTTATCCGCAACGTTTGCGCTCCAGGAATCTAGGCCTTGCCGTGCTGCGTATAGGACCGACGCAGCTGCTGATTCTGCTGCTGCCCGCGGCTGCTGCTTCGCGCCTAGTAGGTGTCGGTCGTCGGGCTGGGGACTTTATCCGCGAAGCTTTCCCTCTGAGAATCCTTGCACCGACTGTTGGTGGAAGCTCTTCCGGGACTGTGGGCCTCCGTCCCGTCGGCCAAGACTTTCCTCATCTAATTGTCGTTTCCGAGACCTCTCTGGAATGTCTTCTTCGTCGGCTGTTCTTCTTCGTCGCCGAGGACATCGGCGTCGTCGTCGTCGTCTTCTATTACTTTGGTATAGTTGGCATCCCTTCCGCTGTCTATCCTCCGTCCACCGACTTTGCCCCGGAGGCATCTGTATCTCGTTTATTTTGCGAGAGGATGCAACAGGACAGAACCGATCGGAGAGCTCGGTAGCCTATGACTGTCCCGAAGCATGCTGGAAATCTTGGACGAGAATCACGAGAAACTGTTCCTGGAAATGGGTTAGGCACGACGCATGGGAAGATTATCATTGGTGCTCGCGAAACGAGCGACGTCCCGAGCTGTGATCCCGAGCTAATTTTGATCGAGTGCCGGAGACGTGAGAGGCAGATGAAGTCGTTGCTAGAGGTAGAATAGGCGGATCGGATAATTGAGAAGCTTTTCCTCTTCCCCGTACGGAAAGGAGACGAAGGACGAGGGAGAATTCCGCCGAAAATGAGCGAATTCAAAGTGGTACGGAGACTCGCTCGTGCGCTAAGACGAGACCGGCCGAGAACATCCGTCATAAGAACGTGCGAAGGAAGAGACGACGAAAAGACGGCGGAAAGCTGCTTCTTCTGCCGCCGCTGCTGCGGGGGGAGGCGGAGGGTTCTGAAACCAACGGAAGAGAGATTTTTGTGGATTTGAATTATTTATGTGTCGCCTTTTCTCCGACTGCGCGCTTCAGTCACACGCATTTCCCTGACGGGAGAAATATATACGGCTGTTTGTATACGCACAGGGTTTCATCGCTACGAGGCAGTAGAACGTACATACCTGTACTCCCTGCGAGCCGATATTATTATTTGCGAAGTGCAAGGAATAGCCCCATGCTAAGCCGATCCGCCCTTGAAGTAGTCCCTCAAGGCGGCAAGCTCGCCTGTTGAATAATCGGAGCTCCTCTTCGAGCTGCTTCTGCCGAGCTCTCCGCAGACAACCGAGTGCATTCCAGATATGCTTCGTCCGAATTCCGGACCTTTCTGAATCACCAGAGTCTTGAGCAGAGCCCGCACGTTTCCCGGGAGAACCGAATCAAGCGCATCTCAACGTCCGCGACTGCAGTCAGGAACTCAATGGAACTTTGTAGCCGAAAGCGTAACAAGGTCTCGGAGCAACCGAGCAGGAACTCGATTGGCATCCGTTGCGAACTCCTATCAGTGGAGACCATAGCCATTTTCCCTTGCTGCTGCGGGCTCTTCAGAGAGGAATGGAGGCAGCAAAGGGCTCTCCCTTTGTGGAGGCGGCGCTAAAAAGTTGCGAATGTCCCTCCAGGAGTAAGTTGCTCCCCGTTCGCTTGGACAGCCAGCCGCCTGCCTGCCCGTCTGTCTGGAAGCTCCCTCGCTCGAACCCGTCCTAGGCTTGCGACAGGACCTGCCGCGAACTTCCTCTTTCTCTTGAGTCGGTCGACCCGGCCATTTAGTCGGGGATGCTGCTCGGCGGCGAGTGGCTCCGCACCCCATTGTCGTTGTTGCTACCGTGGCCGCAGTCGTTGTTGTTGGGGTGGCACCGTCTCAGCCTCGGCGTTCGTTTCCGGGCACTACGATACGAAGCAAATCTTTTTGTTGCTCGCCTACTTTATGACTAAGCGCTCATATGGAAGACTTCTGCGCACAATGTCGTTTTCGCAGCATGATACTAATTTCGTGCGCTGTCAGCTCTCTCCGTCGAGTTAGTTCTGACAAAGTGAGCGCTGTACATGACCGAGAGCTTTTCCAAAAAGTGTCGACCTCCTCTGTGAGAGACCGAAACACATCGAATACTAAATTTTGAGAAATTACTGCGGTCTCCGATCGGCGCTCGCTGCTTGCCTGCCCCCTTTCCCCGGCTCTTCCATCGAAGGGCTCACCGTCGCTCCGTTGCCGAATTCCATTCCCGTTCTCTGGAGGAACCTTCCCAAGGATCCCCGAATCATCCAGAAAAGCTCCTGAGCAATGATTTGTTTCGCGGATGAATTCATCTCGCTTTCTCATTTGCATGAAGATACAAAATCTGTACGTCCGTAAAATCCTCGAACTCCTCGGTATGGTCGATGAGCTAAGACCTCTCCGAATTCGGGAGATATTTGCTCCGAGATGCGAATGATCCTGCGGTAATTTCGCCGGGAGAATCGTTCCGCTAATCAACTTCCCGAGCGTTTCCTCTCCCTCGTTCGGCCCATCTGGACCTTGGTAGTCCCGATGATTCTCGGAAGCGATTCCAGAGCAATGGTCGGATATGTATCTGGCTCCGAGCGAAATGCTACATCGGATGGGAGCCGATAATTCACGTCGTGAGGTCATTGCCCAGTCCTGTTCTCGACGCTCGTTCTGGCAGCGGTTGGACTAGCGGGGAAGTGGGACGATTGCCGATCGACGACATTTCAACAACGAGAAGAGGCTCGAAAATCGAGCGCCATTCTCAGGGCGACGAACGACCACGTATTAGCTCCTCCCGACTCCCGATAAGAGATTGCTCGCTGTAAACTGTAAACGATTTTCTATGCATCAGCATCGGTAGCGCTTCTCTGCGGATTGCTCGAAGAAGTGCTCCGACTCGATAATTTGTCCCTGAGCCCGCCCCCCCTGGCGGACATGGCTCTCAGCTGTTCCGGAATCTAGCGACGACTCGTCTACCAATCCATTCTCTGATTTCTGAGACAAGCAATATATCGATGGGCCACGGGACCCTAACTCTCAACATCGCGATCAGCATTGCCTTTTGCCTCCCAGAATCGGGGTCATCTCTAACTTGAATGCTTATCCTTCTACGATTCCATTTCAGTTGGAAGTCTGACGACCCTCCTCGGAATGGACGCTAGCCAAGTGTCGAAGAGCGGTGCCTCTTCCAAGGCCCCCACCCAGGACAAAGGCAATGAGAACTCACCTATCTATTTCTTCGATGGGAAAACCAACGCTCTCCTCCTTCCTCGGGACACTTTCCATCAGACCAAGACCATGGCCGTCCAATTCTGGATGAAGCATGAACAGGTATGACCCTCGTCCAGGACGGGTGTTCGGACAGAATCCGATTCGACCCCCCGAGGAAAACCTCCACTCGTTCTCTGGCTCGAGTTCACGACGGAGATGATTTGATCGTGTCTTGCCTCGTTTCTCCTTGAGACTCGCTAGCGGCGAAATTTCGTATCTTCCTCGACACTGATGTCGACATTACACGAGCTCCGTCTTTCTTGCAGAACATGGACAAGAAGGCCAAGGAGCACATCGTGTGCACTTCGGATTCCCACAAGATGAATCGTCATCACTTCTCAGTCTTTCTGCACAACTGCCATCTGGTCCTGCTCGTCCGCCAACACAACTCCTACTATCACAAGCTCTTCCCAGCCGAGTTCAGGTTATTATGATTCACGGCTATATCCACCGTTGGGTCTTCACTCAGAATGATGCGGCCCGTCACGCTTCTACCGATGTCCCGCCATTCTTGGCTTCTACAAAGGGGAGCCACTCCTTCCCATGAATACTGATCTTGTCGCGGATGAATATTGAGTGGCAGATGAGGATTCGAGGCGGGACCACGAGCAAAAATGCTCTAGCCAATGAGAAAGCCGCCGTGCATCATCGAATCGAGGGGTGCTCCCCATTTAGTATTTTTTCCTGCTTCTGGAAACGAATGAGTCGTCCTCCTTCTATCGCCTATTGTGAGTGGTCGCGCACCTTGCGGTCTCAGTGAAAGAGCGTTGGCAACAGCCTGCTCTCGTTTCCACCTGAAGTGGTCCACTCGCCCGCGGCCATTGCGGCTGGACGAATTGAAGGGAACAGCGTTTCTCCCGGGACTTGGGAACGAGATGGAGGAAATCGGGGCGAAGCCCCCGCTCTGAGAGAGAGTTAAGCGCTGCTAGATTATCACACGAACACTCACTTTCCAACCTATACTCCGCCACGGTCCGGTCAACCGCCTACCAGCGCGCAGAATCTTGCTGACTTCTGAGGCGAAGCCGAACGGACGATCGTGCGTCCATACGAGCGAGAAAGTGACCTGAACGGTCGCGTTGAGGGAGCATTGAGTGACCGAAAGCATGGTGGAGCGAACGGAAAACGGGGGAATCAGGGAGGGAATGAAGAGAAAATAACAGAATAGCCACCGGCACTACATCGAGATCGGCCACGGAAGACAAAGGAGATCGAATCTCAACCAGATTCTTTTTCTGACGGCAGACCTCTTCCTTCCAGATGGCGAGTCTCTGAGGTGTGCGATTTCGAATGGCATCACTACACCATCAATCTCGATGGGGACCAAGCTACGCTGTACATCGATGGCAAAGCAGCTCCCACCGCCGACATTGTCGATGACTGGCCCATCCACAAGAACATTCACGTAGGCAACGAGACGACCACTGTCGTTGGTGCCTGCTGGCAAGCAAAGCAATCCCACATGGCGATGCATTTCAAAGGGTAAGCTAATGTTTCCCGCATTTGAGTCATGGTTCGACTAGCAATCACCCCTACTTATTCATTCAAATACGTTTACACGGAATACGTGCTCGCGAATTGTCCCCTCTCGAGACGGTCTGGCCGTTATCACTCGATGGAACGTTTCCCTCTTGTCCTCGCAGATATCTCTCGGATCTCGTTGTCCTGAACAACGCCACTGAGCAGGAGCAGGTACTCAAGTGCATGTACCAATGCAAGGAGAGCTTGGTTCGCGCGAACGGTGACAACGAGGAGCCCTTATCTGACGTCGAGACACTTTCGGGAGATTCGGTGGAGTCGATTGAGCGCCAAATTGCTCGTATCAACTATAAAAACAACCGTCATAACCCAACACCCGGTAATCGCATGGTTCACCTTTACACTCATGTCAAGTGCACTAATGGTCAGAGCAAGAAGCTGCCGATGGTTGAGACCATTATCGCTGTCAAGAACAATGATGCTCCCGAGGAGCCCAAGATCCAGATCAGCAGCGAGGAACACAACATCGCCAAGGAATACGGACCCATCAAGGAGGGCGTCGACATTTTCGAAACCATCAATATCAAGGTGCAGCCCGGAGAGAACATCGACTCGTGCACGATTCAGGTTTTCCCAGCCTTGAACCCTGACCACGAAACCCTTCAAGTGCCCGAGTACGTACTCGACAAGATGGGCCTGACCAAGGACGACACCACTTCTCAGCAGAACCAACAGCAGATCAAACTGCGAGGCCCCGCTTCGTCCGAGAATTTCCAGAAGGTTATTTCTGGAATCTCCTATTACAACAAGAAACCCGCTTACTATCTCAACCGGGCTTTCAAACTTCAATGTTATGAGATGGGCACCAGGTACGTCAGCGTCGTAACTATATTGGACGATTCTCGATTTGAAAACACTTCACTAAATTCTGCTCGCCAGACTTTACGAGAGCCTTGAGAACTTTTGCGATTTGACCTTTTGAAAATGCCAAGGGGTCGAAGAACGATTTCTCGATTCTGACTCGAAGAGAGAGTTCGCGGGATTATAATCCGAAAACTTAGGAGAAGAAAATTGATGCGAAGGTTGATTCTCCACAGATTCGCGTCGAATGAGTACATTCAAACGCTCACTGTAATCCATCCTTCGTCCGTAATCTCGTCGAACAACCCGGTCGCCGCGAAGCTAACCCAAAACGCCCAGTCTCATCCCGCGCCGAAACACCATGCCCAGCATCAGAGGATGAACATCAAGGAGAAGCACTCCAACAGCTCATCGATCGGTACGTGACTAGAGAAGCGGAGATACTGCAACATTCCCTCTCGTTCCGCCGAACAGGTGAATTTGCGCTGGAAACTCAAAAATATTGGAAATTCCAGGTATCGCTACCGTTGTTGTCGCTGGACTTGTTGGAACCGTGCTCGTCTTGCTCGGTGTCATGCGTCGACGAAGAGAGAAGGCAACAGCTGCCGCTGGGCAACTTCAATGGGACGACTCCGCTCTGACCATAACTGTTAACCCTCTGAGTTCAGAGGATTGGGAACAATGCAATGGATGCGTCGACAACGCCGACGACTCCAGCGGCGATTCATCCTGCGCCGAGAGCGACGATAGCGATGACGAGGGGAAGCATGCCAACTAAAATCGAGAATCAAAATTCTTTAATTGGATAGGGGTTGGTACGGTAGTGATTCGAAGAAACAAGCTAATGATTCCATCTAGCGAACTTTGTAAAATTGATTACTTACACACGGGCTATCAGCATTGAAGTGGGAGTTGAAACGATCGAGATCTGCTTCACATCTGCTATCCCGCCCCATCGAGCCGCGCGACAAAGCGGGGAAATCCGTTGGAGCGGAAGCGAAGCGAGAACTCGACATTCTTCTCAAGTCGTTCCATCGAGCGATATAGACACTGTCTAGGGGAAAACTACCATTCGGGCTCGATTCATCATGTTCGTGGGGGTAGCTTCTGCAAGAAACGAGAGAATACGCGATTCCGCTCGGATCGAGGGAAGCAAAGACAAGGGAAATTAAGTCACAGCGACGAAGCCTCCAAACGATGTTCATCTTCACAGCGTGGACAACGTGGACGCTCGGAAAAATGTTTTGATTCGGAAACTCCGTAGAACTCTAGGTGTCTATTATAGATCGACGCTTACGCCTTTTGGAGCGTATTGTATGATACTTATAAATAGGTAGGATTTGCCCCGTCCCACGTGGAACGCTGCAAAGGCCGAGCAGTCGGACCACGATACCTGAGTTGCTACACCAAGGGAGAGGAACAAGCCGCTGAGGCTTAGACAACGCCGCAGAATCAAACAAGTGTTCGCAGTTCGGACACCTTGTTGTTTCACTCAAGTGAGCACTAAGTACGCGAGCTATCTTACACGTCCGTATTCATTCAGAGCGACTACGGATTGTGACTGGGTTCATTTCCATATCATTTCGGTTGTAAAGTGACTTCTGGGTCTGGTTCTGTTCCCGACCGAGGCTGGAACCGGGGGTTCCTCTGGCAGCGGAGCTCGAGAGCTCCCTCTCTCCTTCCGCCCCGCTTACTCCACGCCCCGCCCCGAATAGCTGTTTCTCAGACCCGCTAGGTCACAGGGAACGACTTTGATTATGATTTCGAAACCGGCTTCAGCTCGAACTCAGAAAAGTTCCAAAACCGAAAGCTGCTGGACCGCAGCTCGCCCTCGGATTGAGCATTCGTCGTCTCATGGGAATCCGTATCCCGAGTCGCGAGCCCCGGCCCCTCACATCGTTGTGTATAAATTATTCCACTATATGAAGTCTGTGAGGTATCCTTGGTTTCTATTTTTATAACACCTTAATCGCGTGGCCGATCCGATCGTGAGATCGGACCGAGAGGATTCCTCCATTCTGCCGGACATTCGGAGAGCGAAGAACAACTGAGATTCCTCTCGCTCGAAATAACTCCCTTCTACCATCGTCGATTTCTCGTCAATTGGCAGAAAGTACCGCGTTGATGGATGAAATTTCCAGGGAACAATTCTAAATCGAAGGAGGAGGAATAAAGTCGGGAGACGAAGTTGGGGCCGGTTAAATGAAGTCGTGCAATGAAGTTCGTCTACTCGTCCTCACACCACTCACGTCTCGGAATGGAGCGTTCCGTCGACGACTGCTGACAAGGTCGTTCGGTTGCCAGGCGTTGAGTCTAGATAGGAAAGAATGAAACGGTTTCACCAGAGTGAAGAAGACAAGGCACAACAGACCTTATCCAAGCCGTATAAATGACTAAGTAATGGACTTCAACGGGCCGAGTGGATGATCTCAGTTCGCTACCGACTTTGGATTCGCTGCTCCTCAATTATTCTGAAATCATCCAGACACAAACACACACACCGAGACACAGGAAAGAAAAAGTAGTCGACCTCGAAGCCGCGAGGGGTCATGCGTTCCGAGCGAACCCCGAAGAAGCCTTTCGGAATCTACTCGTCCCGTGCGGTATGCTTGTGACAACGCTATTAGGACTGACGATAAGCCCGTAGCTTTCACAAGTATACAATTGCCATTACATATCATTTTAATTCTCGTCCGCGCCATATGACACGCCGAATATGACTCACGACATGGAGAGGGAAAGCTTGAGCATGGAGTTCGATTCGCCGTCCTTTCCATTGGATACCTATTCGTTCCCAACTTACCACGTAGTCCCGGAACCTAAATACACCGCTGCAAAAAAGTCGGCCTGTTGTCTGCTCTTCGATCGAGACCAGAATCCTAGCACCAGAACTTCCGTGATAGAGAAAAGTGAGAAGGAGGGGAACTGTACAACCGCTTGATGGTTGCGGTGGAACTGGATTGAGCGGAAACTAGCTGTCTGGGAGCTTCTGGTCCCTGATCTATTGGCATCGTGCTCTCGAAGATCAGACAACGCTCCTTTCTCCGAATAAAAAAAGGGATGAAACACCCGTAGTATAACGAATAAAGATAAGAGGACATAAGTAAAAAGCATGCGATTTCTCTAGACATACTACCACTGAGTCAAATCCAAAAACTTGAGTCAACCGATATTCGATACACTGCTCTGTGTGGAATCTATGTCACTACTGAGGACAAAAAACAGAATGACGATAATTCAGATTATACCAACAACTATTATGATGAATAAACTAAAACGATTCGTTGTAAACAACGATTGAGCCTGATCATTGGAGTCATTAGGGTTCCAATTATCCACATTCCAGAGCTGCATGGGGCTGACCACGATCCATTCCGGAGTGAAGCTATTATAGCTCCTCCAAAGCTGCTGCGCCGGCCAGATGCAAGTATGCAGGTAGCGTCTCTGCGGAGCCCTCCTATCTGATGACCTGAACTCGAAACTTCCCTTTTGCCCACAAGCATTCCTCCACATACTCGGCCCCGAGACGACCCTGAGGAGCTTGCGAGAGCCAGAGCGCGGAGCATCGTTCAATCCGCCCCAGAAAGTTTTTCACGAGGAATTTCAATCAATTCAGGACTTTTCGGTGACTAGAGAAGCAAAATGACGATAGGAAAGGAAATACTGAGTCCGCGAGCTGCCCCGGCTCTAGAATGCTGTCCGCCGCAACTTTAATTCGGACTGCAACAGGCCGGACAAAGCGCATTTGTTCTAGCGTCGTTGTATTCGTTTAGTTTTTCCCCACTCATATCCCCCCATCCATTCCCCACTCGAATTCTCCCTCGCGATCTCCCCGCTGATCGAGGCGATCGGGAAACTTGGATGTGCTCATCATCAGAAATTACGAGTTTTCTAGTACTGCCCGATCCGAAAAATCCTGACATGGAGTCACTTCACGATTGAATCCGCTGGTCACGGAGCCTTCTTCCGGGAAGCTACATGCGTATGAGCAGCGCGACAGGTCGCGATCTCTTGATTGTTGAGCTCCAACATCGAATTCCTCCAAAATACCAGCAGCTCGGCCCAACCCATTTGCAAATACCCGAATGTGATGAGAGTTCACCTCTCCACAAAGAGCTACTCCACTGGAGCTGAAGGCGTCAGAAGCCTGAGCCTGCTCTGACCTATGACAGGTTTGAAATTCACGGAAAGCCTCCGATTATTGGCTCTCAGAATGTTTCCAAGCAAGCATTTAGGTCTCAGATCCCTAGCCGTTTTCGGTACGGAAAAGTACTGACGCTTGGGGAAGCTGTTTGTCTTGAGCGGCCAGTGAGCCTGCGATTACTCAGCTCTTAGTAGCGAGCTAGATCTCTGTAAACAAGCAACTTCTGGGAAGCTGATCTTTGAAACAAAAGCCGCTCAAAACCTCGAAACTCCGTCGTTCCAAACAGAATAACTTCGAACCAGACGTCTCGGACTCCAAAGAACAATGCCTTACTTACAATGGTGGCTGTCGAAATTCTTTTTGACCTTGTCCGCGGTCAGTGAATCAGTGAAACCATATAAAGCGTCGATCTCTCGGTACAGACTCGTATTCGAGCTGTTCGTCCGGAAGATGATCCCGTTTCCGAAAGGGGGCTTCAATGTCTGAAGTTTTCGATCGAGATTGAGCGCGTCTGCTATTCGCGAAAGTTGCAGATATCGTCTGGGAAGTCGACTGGGCAATCCCAGTAGGGAGAGAACCGGTCCCGAAGAGCGATCGAGAGATCGACGAGCCGCCGTGCGTGTTCACCGAAAGATGAACGGAGGAGACGGATTCTATACACAAAGGTGCGACATTTATTTGGTTCACAAGCGGCGCCCGCGGGCAGGAGAAGCAGAATGTACAACAGATTGGGAATAGTGTTGAAAATCGCCGTTGTAACTATCGCCCAAGAATGCATACAGCGTCGTCATCACTGGAACAGCGAGGAACTAGGAATCGCAGGTGGTTGCGGCGGTATGGATAGATGCTAATGCTAAGTGTGATTTAGTTATAGGTTCCATCGAGGGGCTTGTTGGCCATGGCAGTTTCCTTGTTGCCCAAGTGCTCGCCCTTGTCCATGGACAGGCAGCCGGCTCCTCCACCGAATCCGTATCCCTTGGGTCCGTATTTCCTACCGTAGCACTGTTTGCAGAAGATGTCTCCACCGTGCTCACCGACGTTGGTCGAGTCGAGTTTCTTGTTGCACAGTCCGCACTTGAAGCAGGACTTATGGAACTTCTTACCGGCGGCGAGCATCTCCTCGGCGGCGTACACCGACTTTCCGCATTTGGGGCACTTGGCCTGATCTTGGGGTGTGAAAGGCATCTTCGTATGTCGATAAGCCGGGAAGTCGCGCGACGGACACTGACTGAGATGCTCGGATCTCAGTCAGGGCGTCTATATTGACGCCCAGAGGGCGCGCAAGTATGTACTCGGCGCATTCGGTTGCGAGAAGGCTGCTGCTGCTGCTACCACCGCCGCCGCCGACATTGAGACACCCACGACAGCAGCAGCAGCCGCCGCCAGTACGCCCTGGAACACCACCCAGCCAGGCCCCGGCCGTCCGGCAGCAGCCTGGACGGTTGCCGCTGACTGCCCGACTGACTGACCAAACGACCGACCGACCGACGGTCTGTCTGACTAAGATCAGGAAGATACGGAGGGAAGCACCGGCACCTGTTTAGGATAGAACGGCAGTCAGACGCGAGTCAGTCAACGAGAAGCCAGCCGGGCAAGAAGAAAAGAAGGAGGCATCTCCGGAGGCAAGGTTGTTGCCGCCGCCGCCGCCGCCGCCGTTCTCTAGTAGAGCCAAGTTGAATCGAATCGTTTGCTGGCCCGCCCGTTAGAAATTCTCGTTCACTCGTCGTGGTCATCAGACTGGGCTAGGCTCGCACTCGACCCGCCCTGCGTATATAACACTGTCTGCGATCATCTCAACGCAGAGCAAACGAAGCTCTATCGAGAACCTACAGCAGCTTTGTCGTGTATTCAGCTGGTGTAATCTTTGCGCAATTATCGCCCATTGTTGCATAATATGACGCATACTAAGCGATGGCGGGTAGAAAAATCTCGAGCTCTGAGCCGTCTTTGTCGTTTGAACCTTCATTTGCTGCTTACCGCTGCTGCTGCGGCTGCTAAATAGAAGATGACCCCAGTCATCGTTCGGGCCTGATGTACCGCATCTTCCGGGAAACTTATCGTCCTCTTCTGCGCCCAATGACCCAAACGTATCTTATGGAATGAGCCCCATCTTCGATCAGAATTCGGACCGGTATCGTACTCTTCTGAGTTTCAATTATCCATACGTTTCTATCTATTGAACACTCCGGAATTGAGAATTTCCCCTTTTGCCGCAATCGAAGACACCGGTCTCCGGGGGTGAGAACACTAAAACTGGGTGGCGGACTTCACCTCTCGTGAGAATCTCGAAAAGGAAAGCTCACATCGACCGGAGACTGGAGCGACGATGACTTCACCGAGCTTCGCGACGGAGATCGAAATCCGGACCGCTCCCGATCTTTACCATCGACTTTTCAAGTGTTCTGTTTTTGCGCATGTGGCTGATCTGTCTAAGCTAGACAGAGCGGCACCGACATTCGTGGTCGCATTCTCCGAGGAAGCCGCTCAAAGAGTTGCCTGACCACTCAAACTCAATTCTCGGTTCTTCGCTGCACCTCAACAAGCTTCGTTCGCGTCGAGACAATGCTTCAAGGAAGGTCGAGTCTTACACATTCGATGTACGCTTCTCACAGGGCTGAGACATCCTCTTGACATCGGCATCGCGGGAAAATCCGTTCATGGAAGAATCTGTTCATTTTCCCTCATCGATTCCTCGGTGACAGTTCTCCTCGCGATGACTCAGATCCCTCGATCAAACTCTCTTCCTGGAGGAGGCAACGCGCCGTGAAGCCCGAGCGCTGAACCGCTTCTCGTAGCAGTTCTCGCAGAGTGGCTCGACGATGCTTTTCCGGCGACGATTACCGCTGTCTCGGACGAAATTTCTCCTAGAGAAATGTAAATTTGCCGACAGCGCCTCTTCGCGAAGCTCTGTTGGAGAAACCGATTTCCCACGAAGCTGTCAACAGGACTGGAAGATTTTCGCGGCCTTGCAGATGTCAGCTCTTCTCCGCTCTGCTCTAGGTTAATATGGGTCCAGGAGATGGTAGCGTTTCTCCTTTCGGGTGACACAGTGGTCGGGCACCGATCCGAGCGTCGAGCAGGTCATTCCAATCTCCTCATGCCCTCGGCGAAGTCGTCGTCGAGGCCCTCCAGCGATCATTTAACAGGGATTCCCAGACGCACTCACTCACTACGCACACTATGGCGTGGTATGTCTATGGTACATGGGATCGGATCTCACATGACTCACTCCGATGAACTCGACCCAGTATCTAATTTAATCCTTCAATCTTCCTCGGAGACTGGGGGAAATCAGCGTATTTGCCGAAACCGAAATCGTTAGGCCCTTTCCTTTCCATCACCATCGACTTCCCCATGAGTTCTCGAGCTGGGAGAAATTCGCTCAATAGTGAAGACCCAGGGAGACGTATCTTTACCATCGTCTTTTCAAGTGTTCTGTTTCTGCGCATGTGGCTGATCTGATCGAGAAGAGGATGAACCGAGTTTCCCCGCGATACGAGGAGCCTTCCACCAGGAGCGGATCCAGCTTTTTTTCTTGGGGGGGGCCAAGTCATATTTTCAGGGGGGAAAGAGCCGAAAATGATGACGCGCCACCTCGCGGCCCATGCTTTTGTATAGGGATCGAAGATTCTTGGGGGGGGCCATGGCCCCCTGGCCCCCCCTCTGGATCCGCCACTGCCTTCCACGGTTCCCCAGGCCGGAAGCCTCCCACGGCTCCCCGGGCCGGAGGCGTCCCACGGTTCCCCGGGCCGAGAGCCTCGCTTGTTAGCCTATGCCTCCCTCCCGGGAGCCCGGGATGGACGCGCGTCGAAAAGAATCGGAGCTCGGTACATTCGTTTCCTGCGGGCGACAGGCTGCCATCATGATTCGTGAACGAGAGGATTCCTTAGCGAACTATTGGGATTGGGAGTATCAGAGCTTAAGGCCAAGTATCAACAAGGGAAACACTGATCAGGGCCTCGATCCCTCTCCCTTTTCCTTTCGCTCGAGGCTCTCCTTCGACGGCCGGGCCTCATCGTCGGTTGTGCGGAGAAGGCCGCCAAACGACGGAAACAACTCCAAGATGGCGCCGAGGGCCTTCGAGTCCGGTGTGCCCAAATGAAATAGGAGGCGATTTTGCCTACCGTCTACGACCCTGCCATCGTGGAGGAGAAGCTTTTGCTGGAATCGTCGTGTTCTCGCTAGGAAGAATTTTTCTGTTTGTTGTCTGGATGACCAGTGCTACTCGAGACCGAAGAAGGAAACAGGAGAAGCGCCGCGAAGAAACCGAAGTCTAACATAAGAAGCTAGCTGAGAAAATATTCTCACTCTCGTAGCGATCTTTCTACAACGTCCCTCAAACCCAATCAACGACATCGGACTACAACAAGGAGTTATCACACAATCACAAAATAAACAACCGCAACTTTTATGAACGCGAAAGACCTCAAAATGGAGCATTTTGACTTTCTTTTGTCGGTGAGTGAATCAGGGAGCCTTCTTCTTGCTCAGGCTGTTTCTGTACCCTGAGACGTCTGAGACATGTTTGCCATCCACGAGACATCTCCGTTCTGATAGTTCAGGCCTCGATTCCCCCGGTTTGCTTCATGTATTCCTTAGCTCAATCTGGGAATAAACCCATTGAGGTCCGCTAGAGGGATAGAATCAATATCAGTTTCTCACGGATGCGGCAGCTCCCGAGGAATCGCTCGATCGATTAGCTCGATCACCTGTGGACTAAGCGCTTTATGAATTTTTCAGCAAACCACTCTCGAAACAATTTGAACGGGATCGGTGAAACATTGACGGAAAGCAGAAAGACGCTGATGGTGAGAACGATTCTGCATCTGCGACCAGCTGCAAACGTCATTGCCGAAGTTTCATCGTAGCGCCAATACCTCGAGGTTTCGGTTTGGCCGTTTATCGTTCGCCCCTTCGACGACACGGAACGATATTCAGCAGCCAACGCTACCTCAGAGCTTGATGTTCGTTATGTATTCGGTCGCTATTCACGAAGTTCGTCTCGTTCGACGGAATTGTTAATTTGTGATCTTCTTGTGAGTTCCTGAAGCAGTTCCCACAGAGCCAGAGTTACACGAGCGTTGCTTTCCACGTTATCTTACATGATCTCTTTTCACTCACCGCGTACTTCTTCTGGTACTGAATCCGTCCTTCTGCGACGAAAGATTTCTACTGACGACGCTCGCCGAGACTAGAAACCTCATTCAGGTCTCAGTCTCCCGAAGAATCCCCCAGCCGATCGAGCCAAGTTGAATCGACCGGAATCGACGTGACATGCTTTCGTGTCGAACTTCCAGTCAACTTGACAGTACCGCAACCTTGATCGTCGCAATCGAAAGTGCTGCGACCACGAGCGCCCAACGAGTACGGAGTGGCCTGCGCGGTTTCGTTGTGCAAGGACGACAGCCAGGCGTCGACTCATCGATTTACTTCGAGTGATCACTGTTTTGATCTTGACGTTGAACTAATGTTCGCTAATCCATGAGGAAGAATGGATGAATGAATGAATAATTCAATTAAGAGAGGTCGAATCGGAAATCAAGAGAGAGAAATACGTAAGAGACGAAGCTCATCGACGACCCTCGCCGCAAAACGCACTTCGTTCGAACTTCGTCCACTAAGGGTCGCCGTAATGCCGAAGCGCAAGTTCGAAGACACGACCCCGGGACAAGCCGGACCCGCTGGTTCAGGATTGCCCGGAGGTGTGGGACCGATGGGAACTCCTTACGACACCTTCAACGAACCCGACGAACTCGCCGTTCCGCTAGCGATTCAGACATTTCTATGGCGCCAACTTAGGTGGGTTCTGACCGCGGATCGTGGACTTAGTTGCGAGCTTTCAAGACCATTTTCTTGCATGAACGATCCCGGCCCTTCGGGTTTGATGTCTCTCCGCTGATCTATGTATACGGTTTCAGTCCATTTATCCGACCGAAAATAGGTCGAGCTGTTGATGTAAGCCAAATGGAACAGAGAGAAGCTTGCAAAGTGAGTATCTGCTTCGATTGACACCCTCATCTCGAACCGCATATGTATTGCGTCGAATTCCCCGGATAATTTTCTCTGTATCATGAAGGGAGCTTCGGGACCGATGTGTGCGGCAACTCTCGGGCAATAACATCCCTTCCAACGATTATTTCAGTCATTCGAAAAAGTACTCGTGCAAAATATACAATTCGGGTTATCACCAAGCCTCACAAGTGCTATTAAAGCCATCGGAAGGTGAGCGTGCCAGCCGCACTCAGGGGGCAGGCCCGGAATCCGGGCGTGACTCTGCTGGTGACAAAAAATCGCTCGCGAATGCGATCCCTTTCTTGTGAGATCTGGCAGTACCTGATAGATGCTCGATGGATGACTCGGCTGGAGCGAGACGAGACCGGAAGACCGCATATCCGCATGGAGAGAAAATTTGACCCGCGCAGAGCATGCCTCGCTGTCATGGAATGCTTCGCGGGGCATCGTATCTTTATACTGCAGCTGAGAGTATTGACCCGTCATCCTACACAATTCTATTCGTACGAATCATTAGCTATGCAGATCACTACTTTCAATTTAAGCGCCGTATGACAGTGGCTGCTCCTCCTTAAAACCCGGAGTCGGCGACCGATGTCATCTTTCCTCTCTCATTTCCGTGGGAACTGTTGCTGATGATGGTTCACGGCCGTAGACTGGGAGACGAAACAATACAGTTCTTTTTCTCATATACCTAATCGTCGTACAATGTGTTATTATAGCATGTTGTCAGAATTGAGGCTGAAGACAGTTGACAAGCAGTAGTCACTCCTGCCTGCATTTGAAGTGCCCTCATTGCCTCACGTCCCATGCAAACAAGCGATACACCGTACCGGCCATCTACACTGGAAGCTGCGTCTCTTTCCTAGTGGCTGGCTAAGACCTTGAGCCTTATTCTTCACGGGCGACGCACACTGCTTGAGAGAAGCCCAGTGCGCCACATAGAGCTCTCAAGTCTCCGGAAGTCGCTGGAAAACATCCTAGCTCTTGGGTTGATTTCAAACAAAGCGACCGCTTTGATCGAATAATTAATCAGCATCATCTAGACAGCGTCTCTCAATCTAGACGAACGTTTCCGCTCTCACGCGTCGAGGCTCGCCGAGTACCCGACCGAGTTCGAGAGTTCCGAATGAATTTGACTCGCCGAGGATTTCGGAATCGAGAGGTAGACTGACGAGTGGTGAGGCCCGACTAACGAGAGCTCCGACTCTCCCAATAATTTCAGATGGCGTCTTGTCAAGGCGGCACTCCCTCACGTGTTGCATTGCTTAGCGGCGCTGCTGCACCTTCGCAAGGAGGCTTGTCTAGAGAAACTCGGATCGTCCGAAACAAAACTGTTATATACGCTACACTGGATCGTCCTCGACGCGTGTCAAGAATGCCAAGAGGGTTTGCCACAGTCCCAGACTCAACCCAACGTTTTCCCTATAACTGTTATCCAGGTGGGTCCTAATCGGATGCGAGCGTAGGAGAGCGCAGGTCAGAGGAGAGTTCCCGCTGTCAACTCCGATTCAGAGATGGAATAGCTGAGAATTTCGCCTTTCTAGGTGTTCGTCTACCTGTATGCCCCTCTGTTGAACTTTCTAAAACACTCCGACTTGCTGGGGTCGTTCCGGCTTGAGAACGGTGTGAATATTTGGCCCCCCTTATGGCAGTACAAGCATCCGGCCATCGAATGTTTCACGGCCCCAGTGCTTCCAAATCGTAGATGGGACAAGCGAGTAGGCCAAGCGCATCTGAGTCGACGAAACCACGGCGACGTTTTCGTCGCCCTTCCGAAAAAGAAAGCCAGCAAAGACACCCCGAAAGAGAATCGATCGGAATCAGTTAACGTAACGATTGAACCAGAAGCCGCCGATGGCTTCTTGGGAACTCCGAAAGTCTGCGATAAATGTCAGCTCACCAAAAGCTCCGACGATCCTACCGGACCCTGCTGCAAGTGTCCACGAGAAGAAGTTCTGCAGCATTGTCCTCTAGAAGATCCATTTCTGGCCACGTATCTCGACGTATCTGTTCTGCGATGTTTATTCATATCGCAATGGATGGAAGAAGGAGTTCACTGGGCTCTCCAGTTTGTGTACCATCGTCTCGTGAGCATCAACGAGGAATACACCCGCGAGGGTTTCTCGAGACGTCGGAGCTGCTCCCTACCGGTGGCTCCGGACGAACCACTAACGCCCATGAACGGATCGCTGGCAAGTGGAACGCAATGCCATACAACGATGCTCTATCCCTCTCCAAAACGACTACGGAAGGTGGGTGTGGGTCGTGGAAACACGACATGCGTTATCAGCACGACACCGGGACTTCGATCCATCGGAGTAAATGTTTTCTTGATTCCAGTCGCACTCTCCTCACAACCCGTCGACTTCGCACTACGGCTCGATGCAAGATCTACGACAGTCAGGGAGTCACGGCGCACATCGTCTGTCGTCCGACGCGACTGCGCGCCCGGCTCCCAATCGAAAGAGGCCGATGGTTTTCAAAAAAGGTTCGGACTTCCGGGCATTCGTTGAGGAACATCTCCATTTGCCAGACCATGTGATCCACAAACTTCAACTTAGCTCTCAGACATACCAGAGAGGTACGTGACGCCCACCATGATTGGGCACTGCTACTAAGCCACAAACAGATGAGCTTCTCTGTGAAGCTCGACATGAGGAGCCTCGTCCCTATCGAGTCATTCGCATATCGTGATCAGTCCCGTTTGTTGACAGAATCTCTACCAGAACAATTGGATCTAGCCACATCGCCGGTTCTCCATCGGCCGAAGTCGTCTTTGGGACTTCGAACCGAACAAGACTTGGGTTCAAATCCTTTCGTGGCTTCGTTCCTTCCCATCACCCGCGGAAAAAGCCTCCCATCGATCCACATAGATATTTCGGCCGGTAGTAAAGACGACACCGATGGAGAAAACGGACTTCGAGATGAGAGATTCCGTGACGGGATGGGTTCGCTGCCTAGAGACCGCCAGAACTCGAGCATGGAACACCTTCAGAGGCCCAGCGTGGCGCCTCCGACCATTACGGTCACGGAACATTCTCCTGTTTCCTCGATACAATTTTTCATCAACCAAGAAAGCGGCGACTCACCTAAAGAGGACGAGGCGCGTGCTTTGGGTGATGGCCAGCTGTTCTATCCACCTTGTCGACAGCTCGGCATCACACGTTCGCAAACCGATTCGAATATTTTCTACTTCCTCGAAGGCTTGGACGAAGCCTCAGGATCGACGCATTACATCACACCCGACGGTCGTATCGATCTTCAGGTGGTGCTGAAGGCAGTGCACGCTGTCACGCTGCGTGACACATCGTGCTCCCTGCGAGTGTGTGAAGTGATCCTCAACATTTTGCAGCAGCTCCTTCATATGCACGTGTTACCGAAGTTTTCCGGTAATAAAGGGTGAGTTTTCCTGTCTGTCACTCGTATAGACATGTACGAGGCGGAGCTTCGATGCCGTGCCGCGAGGTAGACATTGGTTTCGTCGGAGCTTCGCTACCCGGTCGACGAAGTCCTGACCTGCTCCTTCGCAGATACGACAACCTTCAATCGCTGGCCGAAGAGGCACTGTTGTCATATAAACAGCAGCACGAGCACCGACATCGGTCGTCGGCCTCACGGGGCGGAAGCCAACGGGAGAGTGAGCTCAGCGCGCATCACCTCTTCGCCGACATCGTGCTCCGTGTCATCAAACATCTTGGCTGTCCACACGGATGCGGGGAGGGACACCGACAAGGTCTCTAATATCTCAGAATAAGACTTCGACTTGCACGAGAATGTACCTTGAAATGGAGGGGCGATCGAGACCAATCTCGACGATCTAGTATGATGAAGATCCCTTGGAATTGCTCACCTCTCCTTTCCCGTTTCGCAGGGAACGCAGATGAAGTTCGCGCCCGTGCCCAAGACATTCTGATGAAGCTTCATGACGACAATGAGAAAGTCTTTGCAAAGTTTGTGAGAGATATGACCGTAAATCGCGGTCTATCTGAAATCGTCGACTTATACCACTCCTTGCTCGGATTTTGCCAGAACTCGACATCCTTACTCTCACCAACCACGCAGATGAAGCGAACCTCCACGTCGACTGCAGCCAGCAGTCAGGATAGCGCTTCCGCCAGAACAGGTACGATTTTCGGGTTGGACGTCCCCGTGGCGAACGGGGTCCGAAGTAGAGAGCTTTGTAGATATTACGCCTTCCATTGGAGTTCTTCCGTTCGAAGCTTCTTCGGACGGTTGTACCGGGGCCCAAGAAGTCTTTCCCGCCCCCTCCGGCAGAAGGAAGCACTCCAATAGTTCTGGGGAGTGGAATCGAACGCCCGCGGAGCTTTGTCGCTCGTGGAGCTTCTCAGCTTGGGGATTTCAGAGCTTCTATCGGAGAGCTCGCTGCTGTGAACGACCAGTACGACAAGACGGTGGCATCGAGGGCAAGGATCTCGATGTCGGAATTTCACTCGTTTCATATTTTAGGATTGCTTACTCCGGTCCGCTTGTCGGCGAGTTGCAGAAACAGCTTTTCGTCAGGCATAGTCAACCTTAATGAAGGTACTTACAAGGAAGTTTGCCAATCACTGTGCTCTCTGAATTTCTCCAGTGACCTCGACTGTCGACGCTCTCACTTCTCTTGTAATGGAAGGAGGCTTCTCTGTCAGTTTGGCATTCTATCTTCCCTATCGGATCGTTTCCTGATGCAATTACCTATTTCTGTTTGCGTGTTCGAGTGTGAAAATGCGGGAAGCACCAAGACTCTAGGAGTGGATTTGTAACAATTTGCCCGATTTCAGCCTCTATCTCCCCTCGGCAGATTCAAAGCTGTCGAAATAGCTTCTGTTCGAGTATATTCCACCCGAGTCAAGGTATCCGAGCGAGGACCGTCTGGTCGATACATTTCTAAACTTTGTCAAGGCTAAAATTAAGCACTCGTTGAAACGTATTGCTGTCATGGGAAATGGATGATGGGTTGGTTGGTCGATTGATTAGACGTGGTGTCACTAACTTTCGCTGTTTGCCTGATCCACGATCCGATTCCCAGCCAGGAGTTGGGTCGATGATCGGAACCGAGTGATTCCAAATAGCGATGCACTGTCCCACCGAATGATACTCCTAGGAACCTAAGAAGAATTCACCACGTCATCGTTCGCACCCTCGAATCAGCTTTGGGAATAAGAGACCCGATGCTGCTCTAAATCTAATCTGTCATCTGCAAGCGAAGTAGCTTTTACGTTATTTGCGGCTCCCTGGGTCGAGCGAGCTCAAAACGCGACGCATTATCCACACCGAATCTCACCCGACCATGAAATCGGAAAAAACTAAGGCGGCGTCTGCCGTCAGTTCCGTCGGATTGAGGTAGACAAACAGCGTCGCTTAGGCAGGCAACTGCCGGATAGTTGCTGTCGACCACTCGTGTTGTCGCTGGGGAGAGTTGTACAATTAACAGACAGGAGTCGGGAGCAACCCAAATTGAATTCATCCCCCTCGGGGAAATGAATTCAATTCGCATGGTGATCGAGGCACATCTCTTCCGTCAAACGAGTGTACCGTTTGACGAATTCGGACGAGATGTTTATAAATTGTGTGTCCATGAACCGGGATCGAATGACGAACTAAAAACCTCTTGAGCAGCACCACGAAGTTCCGGATCCGACACTGAGGCTTGTGGGTGGCAAAACCCGTACGCCGGCACTAACTAAATCAGAAATTACCGAGCTGAGCTAACTGATTAGGCTGTTGCCACCCGTCTACATACATAAACCCAATAATCTTGTCTAACGAAGTCTTCATCGAGAAAAAATCGATGAACCCAAACCCTTGGCTCAACACCGCCTGTCAATGCGGCGGATGTTAATCTTCACGCAACAAATCCGTGAAGCTAGAACAGAGAATTGAAAATGCTAAATTTCCGATCATCTCATGAAACTTTGCTCGGCCGCCTAAATGTCGCCTTGCAGAAAGTGGCTCGGTCACATCATTCTGCAGATTGTGTTTCGAACTCACTATAATCATCCGTTCTGTAGTTGAGCACCTCCACCAGGCCTAAACGAAACGGAAGCGCAGAACTCCCCGTCGGATAGACAAACTCTCAATCTCGCGACAACGCTTCTTTCAGGGTATGCGAACAATTTTGGTGCGAATCCTCGCTCGATCGAGCACGTCGTCCTGAGCTACACCTTCAAAACTATGGCAACTCGGCTTGCGAGGAACGCTAAAGAACTCCGAACTCAGGAGAACATGAGTTTGTACTGCGATCTTCGGCAGCTCATCAGTTTTATACATGAAAACCACGGTACATGAAACATCCTTGGAATGAAGGCTCCTTATTCTTCCTGGTTCGTCGCGTGACGGAGCCTGGTAACCAGATCTCATTCCAATTCTCGTTCCTCTCTCGCACAGGGGGAATTTTCCGTCGCGTCGCGTTATCCGGACTGCTAGAGAGCTCGGAGCGGCCAAATCAGCGCTCGAATAAGAGTTTCATACCTAGCACTAGAATAGTGCGACACGCCTCTCGAGTTATGGACCCACAGGACCACAAGGAGTCAGAAACTTTCGCCGGAGGAAAAATGGGCGATAGCACGATGATGATCGTGGATGAAACCGACAAATCGGGCCGAAAGAGCTTCTTCAAGAAGAAGTCCACAGTCAAGAAGGTTCCTAGCTCTCAGAGCATGTTTGACGACGAGCCCTCGCTCTCGGTGGGAGGATCCATGGGAAGCGTAACACCGCAACAATCATTGAAACTCATGAAGACGCTGGGACCAAGGCTTAGTGTAGGTCCGGATGGCGGCGACAATTTGTCGCTCGGTGCGAAGTCAAAGAGCCCTTCAGGCTCGAAACTTCAACTTCTCAATTGGTTCAAGGGTGAGTCTGCCTACCGTATGGCAGTTCGGGAAAGGAAATGAATTCGATAAGTACATTGTCGTGATCGATTCGACTGCGCGGAATTCCCTTCATTACCGCGCCGAAACTAATTCGAGACATTCCCCCAGGCGGATCGGGCATGACGCCGGTTCCGTCATCGTCACAGCTTGGGCTAGACACCGACGACGACTTCGACGGGGACACTCTCTCATACAAATTCAAGTCCAAAGGCAAGGGCGCAGTTACTAAGAGTTCGTCCGCCGGATTGCTCAAGGTACGTACAATGGATTTCCGATCTCTGGATCCATACAGCTCCTCACGAGGGCAACGTAGCGATCGATGATTTTAGTACTATCGAGTCAAATAATTATCGCAGGCGAAAAAACGAGTCGAGGAACAGCTTTCGAGGCTGGGCTTCGGTCGTCCCAAGAGCAAGCACGGCGGATTCGAGGAGGTGGCCGACCTATCGCGAAGGAACTCCTTTGATTTAGAAAACCAGGAAAGTCAGGCCGCAGCAAGCTACTTTGTTAAAGAGACGAGACTCGTCAATATTCGGACGGTCCGCGACGGCATGCTTCGTTTCGCATTTTTGCTAGAGGCCTGCAACCCTGGTACTATACCTGACCCGCCACTACTCGCCGCAGCTCTAGACCTGGTAAGCTACATGTCTATAATCTCAGTCATTAGCAAGCCGCAGCCAATGGATTCAGGGACACGGATTCCCTTGGATTCACGATCGTTATCGTGCCTATTTCTTTCTTGTTCTCCGCAGAAAGCTCCCGTCGTTTCTCGTGCGGCGTTATTCCTCGAATGCGCATACTTCGTCCGAAGATGCAACAAAGGCCTGTGGCCGAGTTGGATGAAGCTGAACCTTCCGTTGTTCCGTGCAAGCGGAGCGATGACAGGTGGCGCGGGAGGACGCAGTCAACCTGCTGTCCACAGGTACGCGATTCCTTCCACTCATATTTCCGTACCGGAGTTTCACAATATTCCCCGCCTTCGGGCGTGTTATTTCCTTCCGTTCTTTCATCGAGCTTGACCCTTGGTAATCGCCTTTTCAGAATGCATACTCTTCAGAGAGCAGCGGGCCGGCTATTCCACGAATGGGCAGAAGCCGTTGGAGCACGGCTAGAAGAGCTCCTGGCAGCTCAGGATTTTCCATTCGAGAGCTGGGAGCAGATTTCCACCGATGACGCCCGGAGAAAACAGCTGCGCATCGAGGATGATGAAGAAGATTTCCTCGACGAAGCGTCCATCTGCGATCAGCGTTGTCCATTCGCGCTGCAGATGGCGGCATGTCAACTTTTGCTGGAGATCACGTCGTTTCTGCGAGAGACGTTCCAGTGTCTCCCGGCCAGGGGAGGGCCCTCACGCCAATCAACAAGGGGGGAACGCCATCTAGCCGGCGGACCCTCTTCGATGGCACCCTCGGCCGGTTTCCAGTCACACAACGCTAACAGGAGATGGTCTATGGCTCTGAGTACATTAGCTGTAAGCCAGACATCGGCTCACAGCCTAATTTCGCTTGCGGAGCAAACGCAGGCAGCACATCCTATGGCAGGAGTAGGTGAGCGAAGGATCAGTTTTGTGCTTCACGAAGCCGACGCCGAGTCCGACAACCAGTCCGATATGGCGGCCGGGCTTCTATCGTTCCAACAGCAACATCTACACCAGCAGGCCGAATCGGGACTCTCTCAGACCGGTTCAGGCCAAGGTAGACAATCAAGGCAAAGGTGAGGAATGTTCATACACTGAGAAGCACGATGTCGTGATCGGTCCTGGAACCCGAGACGGAGGCTCTATACGTACACATTCCAATAATTCATTCATTCATTCGGCTGAAATTTCTCGTATTTCGACTCCTCTAGGGGAAGCCGACCAAGCGGAAGTGGTATTGCGGGATCTGTTACCGCGGTTGCGGCCGCGAGCCACCTGCTAAGAAGGGGTCACCACCAGTCGAGTTTGAAGCGTTGTAGCCTCAAACTGAAGAGACAAGATCGTAAAAATCGCCCTAGGTTGGTAGGAAGTCGAGATCACCTTCGGAGAAGAGCCTTCTCTGATATTGAGATGATGAGAAAAATCTCTCTGCGTCAGTTTACGGAATAGGAAAAATATCCTTACCCCGTACAGATCATCAACAATTGCCGCTAGTGACGAAGATGCCGAAGAGATGCTGAAGAGAACGGAGAGCATCAAATCGCAGACGCTTTCGAAATCGCAGCAACAGCAGCGTAAAGTCAGTGCGGTATCCGACCGAAGCGATACGAGCGAGCGCGCTGATATTAGGTGCGTATGGGTGCCAGGGAGACCCGAATCGGGAAAGAAAGCGAGCAAAGGCTTAATTTCGATATTTTTCTGCCAACAGTGGAGGAGAGGAGTCGCCCGGTGTTTTGAGTGACGATCAGCCGCCCGACAGTCCAGCTGAGCATCAACAAGGCGCGACTGGACATGTTGGAACGTCAGGAGTCGGCGTTGCGGGTTCCCACGGCGGTCCCGGTCACCCGGGAGCCTTAGCTTGTGGAGCCGGTTCCTCTCTGGCGTCCCAGCTAACGCCCGGCGACAACACACTCTCACAGCAAATGCCTTGGATTTCATCAATTATTGCGGTCACAAAGACCTTAAACTTCTCTTGCGCCCATCAGGGGTTCTGCCACCCGCGCTGTTACAGGTACGGCCTCCTCCGCCCGAGCCTCCGAAATTTCCATCGATATCTTCTTTCCAGATAGAGAACTAAGCTGGGACGTCCATTGCTCTTTTCAGACGCCAACTGAGAGCTTGCAGTAGACTTACGAAAAGCATTAGGAAAATATACGGCGATGACTTCGGGCTCACAGAGTGCTCGACGGAAGACCCTTGCACAGCAGCCATGGGGACTGAAAATGAAGTCGACGCCGACAAGGAACAAAAGAGCAAAGAGAAGAAATTCAAGAAAATTATCACTGGGCCCAGTTCCCCGTTGCGAAGGAAGACCAGCATGGGTCACCTGTACGATAAAGGGGCTGGCCCGGGCTCGGGCTCGGGATCAGGCACGGCCAAGGGCGTCGATGGCCAGGACAGGGCACTGGATACTCCACATCTGAGTGGAGCCCGGTCCCTTCACGGTTCCGCTACCTGTCTCGTGCATGATCTCGAAATGGGCGGTGAGTTTCAGAATGGTGCATATTTCCTGCAGCCAGTTCTTACGATCAACGTCGGAGTATCAATCAAGACCAATGAGAATTTATCATCAATCACTAGAAAAATTGTCAAAACTGCCTCGATGTATGTACCTACCGCTGGGAGAGAAGCGAAAGTATAGTTTGAATGGACGGATTCTCGAATGATGAACATCGAAAACCATCACCGATCGAGGGCGATCTTTTTCGAAATCATGCAAAAATAACTATTTTTACCTCGATAAACGAATGCGATCTTGATAAGGAATAATCTCTCGAATTCCAGCGGAACCATCGTCGAAATTGACGTCCCAGATGGAACGAAAGAAGAAGATCAAAGAGGAGAATCCCCTCTTGAAATACGTACGGAATCAAGTTGTCAACGTGTTCCTCTCCCCGATGTCCATACTCGTGAAGGGAGCTGTGATACTGAAGGAAGAGAACTTTCAAGGTTAGCCTCGGCTTCCGATCGGGCTCGGACTATCGATTGAGATCAAGATATCACAGAGTTTTCCTCCTTCCCCTCTGAATCTCCTTGTAATAATTTCGACGGTGCCCCGTTTCCAGATATACTTCCCGTTGTTTGGGAACTCATCCTCGAACCAGACCAACAATTGAGCTCAGTGGCATCAGTGGTGTTCATCCTTTGCGCCGTGAAGTCCTCTGAGCGTGCCAGTGACCTGATCGAGAAGGAACTAAAGTCCGAGGACGCCAATCAGCGAATCCAAGCCTTGCTCCGGATCCAAAACCTATGGCGACATCGATATCAATGCTGGCCTCGGATGGAGGATAGCGCACACGTTTTGTTCAAGGTGCCTCCACCGAACATCGAATTCACGCTGCCGAGTCCTCGGATCGCGATGGATTCCGCCCCGGTGGCGGATCCACCGTGGATGCCGCAGATCAAAACGAAAGTAGAAGAAGTCACCATCAACCAAGAGCAACGATCATTTGTGACGGCAACTCAGACCCGTCGGAAGCAACAAATGGAATCTATACAGCGAGCGCTTCAAGCCGAAGACGAGAAACGGACCACAGAACGCGAAAACTTTTTCATGACTTCGATTAGTCCCACAATGCAAGCAGCGTACGAACCGGCGTTATTCCAGCACCCACCGGATGCGGAACACGAAAGCGCCGAAGCCGCTTCCGACCTGGACGACCCGCAGCAGCGGGCCGACCGTTCGCACGCGTCACACCCTATTCAGGTTGCCCATTCACTATACCCATCTTGCATGTGTTCCTCTGCCATCACGATCATCAACATGCTACAAGACGTTCAGACCAACCACGAAGGAGTGGCCGTCTACGAGGTGGCCTACAAGGTCATCTGGCAATGCCTCGTCGAGGATACGGCCCTCTTTCTCCGGTACCTCCTGGAAAGATTAACCCGAGAAAAGCCTGACACCATCATTCAGATCCTACGCAGACTGATTCGCTTCATGCCCCGCCTGCCGACTCAGGCGGCGCATGTCATGTACAACTACATCGTGGGCTTCATCATGTTTTACATTCGTTCACCGTGCGAAGGCTACACTGAGCTGATCGCGGCAGCGCTCTCCGCTCTGTGGCTTGTCGTACCGTCAGTTTACGGCCTCTATCTAAAGGACCTCAAACAGGTCCTCCGCAAGGAGCAATGCGACTCCACGCTCCTGATAACGGCAAATGTGCCGAGTGCCAAGAAAATCATCGTGCACGGTGAGTATCGGCATGATGTTTCCCCGCATTGAAGGATGTCGTATTTCAATGAGGTGTCGGAAAATTCTGGCTCGGACGAGAAGATGAATTAATGCTCTACGGATCGAGCGCTGATCGCGGGGACTTTTCCTCCACAGGCCAAGATGACCCAGGGGGTATTCCGTCTCAGTTTCCTATTCACGAAGATACGTTGTTTCAACATATTCTTCAAGACAGTTTAGATTTCTTTGGCATCGAGGAGAACCAACAAAACTGCTATTTCCTAGTCGATACCAAGACAAGTGAGTAGGGCTCCTCGATTGATGACACAATAAATATTCCCCTGTACTCACCTTAGTCTCGTCGTCACTTCGGCATCGATGTGCGAACTGTTTCACGGAGGGACGATCTTTTCAGATACGATGCATATAAGTAGCGCGTATGTTCGGGACCACTATTTTTTCAAACGCAGTCAGTACCCCCAACTGAATCTGGTCAAGATGGAGCCCGACGCCGCGCACGCAGCGCTTCAGATGCAGTACTTTCAACTGCACTTTATAGAGGCTAGCAAGGTCTGTTCCGGCTCGTGGAGCTTCATATATGGGAATCGAGATGTGTTCTACCTGGATCGGGATCCAGGGACGGAATTTCGTTTTTGCCGACATTAACTCCTCATCTTTCAGGTCTTAATGAGTCTGGCCGTACTACGTAGCAATCATCAGTTAGCACCTCGCGTTCTCTTCCTTCACGATGAACTCACGAAACTGCCTTCGTTCCCAAGAAAAGCGTTGGAAGCTGATTTTAGCTTATATACGGGCAAATATGGAAAACAGGTACTCGCCATGGACACCATGCATAAACTCTGCTGGGTGAGTGTTTACCTAGATTATTTTCCTGAGGAACTCCATGGCATTGGGACGCTTGATCGCAGTCGGTGAAACACGAGAGGATTCTTTCCTTGTAGGTCCGCCTAATGGCACGCATGTTCGAGGCGATGTCTGGCTTCTTCGCGCATTCCTCGGATCTTCACTTATTTCTCAACGTTGTGAATGGTGCCCTGGTTCTGCACTGCGAAGACGCTGCCATCCTGCGCCTCTGCTGCGCCACTTACGTCAACGCCGCACACCAATTCAAGAATATCTTCGCCACCAACGGGTTCGTTCCCGATCAATCTTCGCCCACGATCTCTCCATGAATTGCTGATGATGAGGATGATGAGGATCGATCAGCAATGATGATGAATCGATGATCCTTCCAACGTTCAGAATGAGCTCCGATATATTTTGTTCCTCATTGCAGATATCTTCTCATTATGCCGACAATGCTACAGATTTATTCGAACCACCAGACCAACGGCCTCCTCTGCCGCACCATAGAATTTATCTGCAAACAATTCTACATCATGCACCGAAAGCCATTCATTCTACAGATGTTTGGTAGCGTCGCCCCGCTGCTAGACACCGACACAGCGAGTCAATATGGAGACGCATCAAAAGTTCAACCGAAAGCGTTCTTTCAAGTGAGAGCGGAGTGTTATGAACGAAGGATTGAAATTAGGATATCAAGCCCCAAAGCCGTTCGGGACACCGCCTCAACGAGCATGTTTTTCCTCCTTCAGCTATTGCAGTCTCTCTCCCAGTACATCGTTGACCCCCTGGACATTCTGGAGCTTGTGGATGCGGAGAAACCTCTCCGCGCCCTCGATTTCTGTTATCAGATGGATCCTGATTCGTTATCAATCCTGGACGCAATATCGCTGAGCGTGACCGTGTGCGCCTATTCTGCGGATTCGCATCGGTCTCACCAAATGCTCGTGAGTTCATCCATCTAGATACCGATTTGTATACCGGTCGTTCCTCGGTCCCAATCGTGCAGAGTTTCTCGGATTCCGAATTCCCACGCTGTATCGACAGAATGTTTCGAGATACCCGCGGGGAAAAATCGAGAATACGGTCAATATTCACGGTCCTCTTCCGCCGTTCCAGACGATTCTCGAAGCGATCGTCCCGTACTACCTGGAACACTTGCAGTCGCTAACGACGAAAAAGAAACCGGTGGTTCCCGCTCCGAATTGCAAATGATTCACAGCATCTCGCTGTGCATGAGAACTCTCATCATGAACGCAGAACCCTTGACTAGACCCTACTCGGGTCCTCAACGAACCATCGACTTGAGAGGGTCGAGCATGAAGAACGCAACCCGAGGAGCATGCTCGCCGCAATTCGAGATCGAAGAAGATCTCCCATCGCGATTTATGAACGAAGCCTTAAATTATCGAAAACAGGGCGGTTATTTCGAGAGAGACTACGAGGACAGCGACATCCTCCGGATGGAGTTCAGGAAACCTAGAGACACGCTACTGAACGTAGTGGCCGAATTCTTAACGAAATGTTCTGCGAGACTTGCCGATCTTTCGAAGAAAATTCCAGACCTTCCGAGCAAAGCCACGGAGCTTCTCGACGTGAAATGTCATCTCGTAAGCATCTCCACCCCCTCCCCCAAGTATTCGGTGGCGACTCGTCGAGGGCCTGAACGGCAATTTGACTATCGATTTTGATTTGATTGAGGATCTGACATTCTGATATTCTCGATTCGCAGAGATTAGCCGAAATCGCCCACAGCCTGCTGAAAATGTCCCCTTACGACCCGGATACGATGGCGGGCCGGGGCTTACGGCGATATCTCAATGAGGTAGGCATGACCATGCCCTCCCCTCAATTATTTTGTCGCCGTAATCTCTATCGAAAGTTGACCTCGTCATGAGGTCCGAAGCTTCTGCGCTCGAACTAAAAGCTCTTCCTCAATGCCTCCCAGGTACTGCCGGTTTCCGAGTGGGCGCAAGAAACCATGAGGCCCGCGTTAATTATGGTCATAAGACGACTCGACAGAACATTTACGAAAATAGCTAAGAAACCCGCTATACGAGTAAGTCCCCCCTTCTGAGTGAGCCTCTTCCGATGGACTTCCGAGGTCTACATCCAGCGATTGATGAAACTCAGTCAACGATGCCCTTCCACAGCGACTCGTCGATTGGGACGCAGCCAAAAATCTGCTTCGTGGCGTCTACCTAACATTGTACAAGCACCCGTATGTTGCACATCTACCGCACCTAAAGTCGCTGGTCTCCATCTGTCAGCTGATCATTGTCGGCGAGTCATCGACGACTTCGGGCGAATCGCAATCCAATGTCGGTTCGTCGGCAGCGGCATTGGCGCAATCGCCGCCGCCGGGCTTCTGCTCGGTGGCTGTCAGATTGATCGCCATGCAAATGCAAGCACTCGGTGAAACTCTGTCTCTAGAATCACTTTGCGGCGGCCAAGCTCTACTGCAATCTAGAGAGAAGACGGAAATCTACTTGATGAACTTCATTCTCCCGCTGTGTCTGCGGGTGTCGTCAGGCGTCAAGGACGTACCCAAGGTCCGCCAGAGCGACATCGCCTTCTCGTTAACTGTGGTGCTCAACGCGCTCAACCCCGCTCAGAATAAACCCCAGCCGACGCAGGGGAACGCTACTGGCGGCCAGGGAGGCCAGGCGAGTGCCAAGGCGAGCTCAATCGCAGAGGATTCAACCTCAAACGCTAAGACTCCTTCACATATGCGAAGTTCGCTTTACCGCATCGGATTCCTTGGTGAGCCCGCTTGGACCTCATGATTCAAGGGGTTGGAAGGGGAGAGAGGCGCGAATAATTTCGATAACGATCATTAGCGGTCTTTCTCATGACTAATCCCTCCTTACAGGACTCAAGATCCTCATAGTTTGTTACGAAAGACAATTATCCGCTGACTGGCACCGAATCGCGAGATGTATAAGAGAATTGGGCAGTCGTCTGTACGGAGGGTTGGCGCTATGGAACTTTTTGGATTTTTTGGTGAGACGCCGCCTCCTCAAATTATTATTCAATTATTATCAGTCGTCGGAATCGCTGATGATCTAGCGAAAACGCCTCCCGAACGAAGACTAATATCTTTTCTCGATCCCCCGAATCCCAGGTAAGCCACCGCACGCCGCTGTTCGTACTCCTGTTTCCATTGATCCGCTACAGGATCCTACAGATAATCTGCGACAACGAACAGGAATATTTCTATCAGCAATCAATCAGAGAAAAGCTCAAAGGCGGAATTGCACTGCCGGGAGCGCCGCCGAAAAGTCAGGGATGTTTATTTGTCGAACTCGTCAACGAGCTGAAGCTGCTCAAGGAGGACCTCGTCGCATGGCGTCTCGGAACCAAGAGCGGAGAGCCTGCGTCGGGGGAGACGACCGGCGTGGTCAGCCAGTCGGTCAGTTTTAGCTCCAAAACCCCCGCGGCCGCGAGCGGGCCCCACGCATCCACATCGGGTCAAATGGCAGCGACTCGGTCGTCAACATCTTCGGCGCAACATGCAAGTTTCACCGAACTGGGGCCCGACCAACAAAGCGTCACAAGACTCGGATCCCCACCAGGGCTGGGCACCCCCAGCAGACTGCAAACGCTGCAGTCGCCGTCCCATACGGGAAGCCTATCGACCCCACCCGCATCCGCACTGCCTTCGCGAGGCAGTTCCCTCAAGCTACCGAGTCAGAGCCTACCCGCGCGTACTCTGTCGATTCGTCTGCCGGGAAGCAGCGATGTCGGAGGAATGGGAAGACTCATGTCCCGCTTCATGCATCGCAGGACCTCTTATCCGTCAGCTGAAGAAGAGGGGGCAACGCCTAGCGGGGGACGCCAAGTCTACAGACCGCTAGACGCTTTGGAAGGCGAGCCGGGAGGAAGCGGCAGCGGCCAACAACAGGTCGCCGGAGCCAGCTCTGAACCACGACTGTTCCGCAAGTCAACACTCCTCATCAAGAAGAGGGGAGAGAGCAAGAAGGCAAGTGCACCGAACAGCTCCCATCAACTTCAAACCGCAGCCAGCTCCGCCCCGGGCTCACAGTCATCCGTCGCAACCGGCCTAGACCAGGTATGTCGGTGCATTTCCTGTGAACGGGTTGTTAAGTCGAGTCCGAACTTGGCGAGTTTGAAGAACTTTTTTGCCGGAATTACAGGAGACGGATGCGGCATCATCGGGAGGCGAAACGACTTTGTTTTCGCCAACCGCCAGCCGACCGGCGAGTCCCAGCCAGCATTCGTCTCCGACGGGCGACGGAAGTGACCCGTCGGCAAGCTACGCGTCCACCAGTACGTCGCAGCAGTTAAATGTGAAATCCACAGGTGGCAGACATCGGCTGCAGCGTCAGAAGGCGCAAAGTCGGAAAACATTCAAGTGAGTTGTCTCGTTAATTCCCTTGGTGACCTGGAAGCATCGAGATATTTCCTCGAGCGAGGAATCGGCTCCGATCGACGTCATCGACGAAAGCCCATCCCTGTTTTCAGATTTGGTAAGTCTCGGAGAGGTTGGGGCCATCATGACAAAGACGGAGGGGAAGAAGCGGGCGAAGATATCGCCAGCCAACAGGCCCAAGCTCAGGACAGCCCACCGAGTTCTGTTCCTGCAGTGATAACCTCTACACCGAGCGGTCCCTCTAGCCAAATTGAGGCGTCTTCTGGTGCTGACGCCACCGGCGATTCACAAATATCGAGCCAGCAGAAGGAACATCATCAATCCCAACAACAGCAGCAACATCATCATCAGGTAAAACTATCAGCTTGTAATTCGTCCAGTTTGACTCTCAAATAAGTTCCGAAGACCGTCAGGATCCGGTGGGACTTTGCCGTCTCCTTTGCTGGGCGGGAAACTTCCCGACCGAAACAGTACCCGGCTCCGGTTCCGCGAGCTCGAGCGGTCCGGCAAGAAAAAATTAGTCCCCATGCCCGGACTGGCTCAAACATTCTCTCTGGCAAACCGAATGATTTGGGTCCCGACTTAATGTCACGCGACGGAAAATTCCATTATCCTCTAGCCATCCTCCAATTACTGACAAGGGTCCCCTCTGTTCTTCTCTTCCTGACCTGTTTAGGAATCGATCATATGCTGGCACATAACTTGAGTAAGTTCCGTGACATGGAATTCTTTGTGCCGTGTTCATGAATGGAATGGTTCGTCTGATGATCATGATTCTGTCGTTGTTTCTGCACTAGATTCACGCGTGTTCACAACGATCTCAGTACACTTATATTATCCACAGAACGATTTCCCTTATTATGCATTCATGTCGTATGTTAATTTGCCCGTGTGAAGCAGCTGACGACCTCGATCCTCTTTCCACCCCCTCATGGAAATGTTTACAAATCTGATCTGCCGCGTCGTCCGTTCTGCTCGGCCTGTTGAACATCCGTACCTCCACGAGAATATCGAAAAATGCATTGACTGACTCGCCCAACATGTGGACACTGATCTCTAGGGCTAAACGTTTGGGGCTGCCGTGATCTCCGCCATGAAATCCGCGGATTGCTGCGTTAATTTCTGGTCCCCGCGGGTCTGCAGTCTTTCCGAAATGAACTTTGGCGAGCACTTCTCCGAGTCTCTCGGTATCCAGAAGTAGCGATAGATGTATGTATATAACCGTTCAGGCTTCTCTGAAAGCTCATGCAGATTCTGCAAATCGCTCCGGAAAATCCAACCGCTCCCTATCTCTCCGGCAGCGGCCGACCTCATGGTTCATGGTGTTATTGATCCATACGATCCTGCGATGCGATATCACGGGACCATATTCCTATCAACTCAGGAGCGATTTCTCAGTAAATCGGTCGGGTCCTCCTTCTCCCCACGCCCTGGTTCCTTGGTGCTTCGCAGCAATCCGCTGTCCTTCTTTTCTGAGTTCTGCGTGACTACGCGGTGCCAAGTACCCAGAACGGGAGCGACCGATATCCTATCGGCGTTTGTCATCGGAAATATTTCTAGGCTTCGACCTCATATGACCCAAGGCGATTTCAATGAAACCCAGAATGAAGAGCCCCCCTCCTGCTGGCTCCAGGTCATGGAACCACATTTTTCGCGGAAGCCCGATGCTCCTCGCGAGCTCGCGAATTTTCAGAAAAAAACGCCAGGAATGCCTAGCCCGACTGGTCCCCACCCACTGCGATGAAATGATGAAGGGTCGGGGTCGGATATCGATCATAATCTCGGGGTTGTTCTGTGGACTGTGTTGGTCTATGTTGTTCGAGTGTATGAAGCACCGTTCCTTGGACTCCGGAAAGTGATTCGGCAGGAGCACAGGTCTCGCTGACGATCGCCCTCATGTCATCACTTCATGAGATTGCTGATTTCAATGACTGCTCCCCTGGTAGACCTGGAATGAAAAACAAACTCTGGGAGACGCGATTTGTATTTTTCACGCGTAAATGCCCGTTAACTTACGTCCGGATGGTGTCCGCAAACTGATAGTGAACAGTGACCGCGAATGTTCCGGTGATTCTAACTGAGTCGCTCTCATTGCACAGGTGCGTTTCCAGAAGAAGCCTCTTGGAGCGCGTCGCCAGTCCTCGCCGCAGATCGGGCCCAAGCCCAAGCCGCTGAGAAGCAGTCTTAAGAAGTGCGATTCTCAGCCCCAAAGCAACAGCGGAGGAGAGTCCGACAACGACCAAATAGATCAGCCGAAAATAAGTACTTTCAAGGACTCTCCTCCGACCCCCAAAGACTAGTGAATTGTATTTTAGAATCAGAACACCATTCGACTCATATCCCCCAAGGAAAAAATTCTCCATGCCAAACCAAATATCATTACCTTCGACGACAATGAAGGCGACGATCATGGAATTATGAGCATTCTCTAGCAAAGTGTTTCACCCTCGTGTACTCAACACCCACCACATCAGCTGCCGGAATTGTAGCGCCTTGGGAATAATCAAATCGATCGACAACTCATAATCTCGTGATTGTAGCTTCGATTCACAAAAAAGAGATATTACTAGGTCATCGACTGGAATCTTCATCCTGACCTAAATGATACGATCCTCGGCCCCCGAACCGGCATCCATGTCAGAAATCAGCTTATATTAGACACAGCTACCCCAAGCGTCTGAGATATCACACACTTGGGACTGACCACAGCTGCAGCATTAAATCAGGCAATGAATAGCAATCGATTATAGCGGATAATTGCCAAGACAGAAGTACAGAAGTCGTAGTCTAAAGGAGAGATCAAAAATTGTAAAGGAATAATCGCCTTGTATACATGCTAGAACGTGCATTCCTCATGTACAATTGGACGAGATCTAGCGGAAGGATAGGACGACGTAGCACAGTTACGAAATACTTGTCAAACTGTCTCTTTCTTCATCAAAGCATCGAAACTAACGAGCAAACAAACAAACTGAATGCAACTCAACAGACCCATCTACCAACGTCTTCTACTACTGATTGAACTACTTCTCGTACAGCATAGACGACAAACAAACGAACGCATCCTGAGATTTGCAATCTTCTAGCAGCTGCAGCAGCTTCCACTGAGCACAACCACGACACGAAATCCGAGCAAAATCACAAAATCAGATGAGAAAATCGAATTATCACCAAAGGACAAATAACATCAACAAACGAGCGAACACACCAGCCACTCTTTAGTACCACGAGTACTACAGTTCACCTTGTATTGACATCTCCAGAAGCAGCATGAGGGTCTCCTTATCCTCACAACACAAAGCTCGTCGCGTGAGGTGAGGGACGCCGTCATGTGTAGAACATCTGAGTCAGCATAATTAAGTAGCTAACCTTGAACCTAGTCCTCGGCTCATTTATTCTTCTCCTACTCTTCGCCTATTTCTCTCTCTCTCTCTTTCTATCTATTTATCTATCTATCCTTGCTTTGGTTCATTGAGTAATTCGCTCTGCACTCCTCGTCATTCTCGGAGAGTCGAAGAGCTCTGTTGCGTTTCACGCCGATCACACATAAACTCTCGGAATCTGTGCTGTTAATCTCGTAGCGCCTGTCATCTCATTATTTGGCAACTCTCGTACTCGACGTGGGAAATTCAGATAAACCAAACCTGAGACCCGACCGATTGGATTATCTTCGATACACAGATATTGATATATCGGATCGGAGAATGCTACTCAACACCGAAAAACACGGGTTCACGGACAGTTTTTCAACTATTTGAGAATGAGTCACGATCGATACATAGCTTAATCTCGCAATCGAGTCGTCGAAATAGTCCGTCGAGTTCGAAAGCTCATGGATTGATGAGCGATTCCGCGACTCGGTTGGAGCCGTGCCCGAAGGCAGACGCTCCAGTGGGACAGCTCGATTGAGACGGTGTTAGCTATGAAATTATTGCTATCCTTGAAACACTCCCATGAATCTCCGCTTGATATCCCTACCTCTTCGTGTAAAAGTGAGCTAAAGTACTCACATAGAGACATGAATAAAGTCAGAAACAGACTACACAATCAACTGAGCTTGTTGCTTCTCTAAGGCTCCTAATGGCGACGACATTTACGGCTTGTAGTCATCACATTCCAGTCAGAACTAATATGCCAGGGGTCCCCGCAATCGCGGCCCGCCGTTCCTCGCGGGTGATACTTCATGAAGTACACTCCGAACAGTCCAAATGGAAACCACACAGCTTCATCCGGTCATCAATGATCCTCGCGGCTGATCGCATCTTCTGGGGTGAAGCGTCTCTAGGAGCGGGGTAGGAAGTGATTCGGTCCTTCTGTGAATCCTCGGACGTCGCTTGCGCCGTCCCCAAATCCGTCTTCGAAGTTCGAAAATGCGTCGTTTGAAGAGCCGGATCTTCGACGCAATTCGAACAGAGCGGACTCGCTCGCGTTAAGTCGTCAGAGAGGCCCGCGATCCGAGCAAGAAACAAAACGGAGGAGGGTGCAAGGCTGAGGATAAAAGTCTTGCGAGCTCGCCAGCGCTCTGTGTGAATATTCGATATGGAATGAATAAACCCAAACAAAATGCACACAGTTATCAGGATAGGTACCATAAGTTTTTTTTTTCTTTGCGTTTCGGTTTGGCATCGTCTAATTCTCGCGCCTTGGCTTGTTGATTCCGGATTATTTGATCTCCCGCAAGCCGCAAGCGTATGTCGAGCGTTGTCGATTGCATCAAGGTTGGATAAGTCGAAGCTCACGCCCAGTGTTCGAGAATTCTGTCGCTAAGGTCCCACCTGATGTCGACCCCCTGATCGCGACTTCAATGACGGAGGATACTCGCGGGGCAAGCTTGCATTCTCTTCCCGACTACCGGAGCAGAGAAGGCGAGTGAATCAAATTTCGCGCCAGCGCTCTCCTCTCTCCCACAACAAATACTTCTTCTCTCCTCACGAATCTGGCGGTCGACTGTAGTGATGAGATGAGTGAAGATGATCTAAGATTGAGTGCTCCTCACTGAACACATATCGGATGATTATTTGGTGCTCAATGCCTCCGTCGAGATCTGCATTAAGCTGAGGTTCCCGTGACCCTTCGACCCGCGGTGAGGGACGTGAGTCGGACTCAGAACATGATGAATTTCATTCTTCAAAACTGAAATTCCAATGCTCAACGTCGAACGTACTGCGTTTCCTCTGTGAGCTTATCGAAACTCGAAATTGCAAGCTCGTCGTTTCCTCGGAGTTGTCACCTTATCGATATCATCCTTCCAGAACGGCAGAAGAATGCGTCTCACATGCGAAGTGCACATAGGTTTCCGGAAAAGCGGCAGGCCGGTGAGGAGACTCGGTGCTGCGACGATCACAATAAGATCAAATCTGAGAGATTCGCGGGTGTACAATCTCGTAATTTCGACGAATAAACAGATTGAATGCGGTCTTTACAAGTGAGTGTGAAAAAGCTAGGCAAAACTCAGCCAGTCCCCATGAGACCAAAATAGACAGTTCCCTCTCACATGGCTCCCCGATCCCCTTGGCAGGAATCTGAAAATCAACATCGTGAAACTATTCACAAGTTGCGTGAAAGAGGGAAAAATGACGATTTCATTCAACGAACCCCCTCACGACGTACTGATCCGGAAGGCAACCGTGCCTCAATTGGAGAAGTTTTTGAGCATACTTCGCGCGATTGGGAAAGGCGAAGAAATCTCGACCCGCTTCCTCAAGGAAGCCAAAATGGAGGCTCCCCCTCCACGTGTGATGAAGATTTCGGAACGAAGTCAGTATCCAGTGCGGGGATTCCCATCTAGCCTCGAGAGACTTCACATCAACTGCATCAAATTGAGTCGGATACAGAAAAGTATTCTCGATCTAAGCAACTTGGTGGAGCTTTGCCTCGACGATAACTCCCTGAAAGCGATACCCGCGGAGATCTCCAATACGAGACTGGTCAGTCTATCCTTGGCGAACAACGATCTCACCGAAGTGAACGACATCTTCCTCGGACCTCTCGGACGAACCATCAAGGATTTGAATCTTAGCAACAATCGTATCCGACGTCTAACGTATTCGATAGCCCGGCCGAAATTCAGATCGCTTGACCTCTCTCACAACGATCTTCATGAGCTCCCGACTTTCTTCCAAGGTGGTCCCGAACTCAAGTTACTCCGCCTAGAAGGGACAAACGTGCGTCATCTGCCGTCGTCGTTCATGGCGAAGACCGCCAAGGTTGTAATGGCAGGAACGCATAGTTCTGAATTGATTGTTAAGTTTGATCGCTCAGCGAATTGCCCGAAATTGTTGGACCTTTGCTGTATCCGCATACATCAGACTTCCGCTGTGGTGGATCTTCCTTTCGAGTTAGTGATGCCAAGAGCTGTACATGCGTACCTTTTATCTTTCGTCCGCTGTCGCGTGTGCGGTCGCTTCACATTCCCGTCCGCGAATCGCAGAAGCATTGCTATCGTTGCGTATTTGGACTTGATGAATTCGTTCGAGTCACTCGCTGGAGACGGAAGTTCTGTCGGAACTCGACTAGACTACCTGTGTTCGGAGGGTTGCTTCGATTATTACAAACGCCGGCACGACCATACATGAACGAGCTCCAAACGTCCACACTGTGATGAGCTGTGTAGGGCACGGTGTTCTCGAAATTTGTCACTAGGTCTTTTATTGCAATTATGGAATATCATGATGAGTCGGTGACTTGTTTTCACCAGCACCAGCGAGCCTAATGAGCTCGGGTCATTAGGTCGGTCAATTATGCAGACGAGTTGTTTTCAAAGTCGCATCGAAATGTTAGTCAGAGAATTTCTTCCCGATACCTCCCCTAAATAGACTTGATGGCCTGATTGAAGCCAGGCTGGTGGGGTTGATACACTGTTTTCGAATCATGATTGGGCTCGTTACTCCTGTCATTCATATCGCTCTTTGGGAACTAGCGTGTAATCTTTCAGGAAAAATCAGAGCCAGCATCTGCTTCTGTTGTTCAATAAACAAACCCTATAATACACAAGTGATCCCGTTCGTTTCCGAAGGTGGAATTTCATTTTGACGTGACTCCAATCCAATTTCCATCGCTCCTTACATCAGATTTCGGTTTGCTGCTCGATCATCGAAGAATCGAAGTTATTTATTGCTCGAATAAGTTATTAGCTAAGAGACGTACAAACTACTCAGAGCTGAGGAAAGAAGTAATCCTCTGAGGGGTTCCGATATCGACAACGGTGACTCGCGCGTAGCAGATCCTCGCGGCCCATGGAAAACTCGTGTGGATAGGCTGAGCTATGGGCAGCGAATGACTTCGAAATAAATAGATACAACGCACACTGGACTAGACAATAATTGTGTCAGCGCTCGCAAGGAACTTTCGATGCAGTGCCCGCCCGCCGAAGCGACAGTGAACACATGAAACAAATCGAACAAAACCATAAGACAGCAATGAATCTTGGAACAATTTCAGACAGACGTTCTGAAATTAGATTATAAACATCAGATTCTATATTAAAGCTCGACCTCCCTTCATCAACTTAAAAGAAATACCGAAGACACTCTTTGATTCGGATAAGTTCGGGTGAGAGCCTGATTGCTGCATAAATTAGCTAAAGCTATGGCTTTTACGAGTGTGGATCTACCGCTTCCCGCGTTCCGGGATAACGAATCGGAGAATACAGTATTCTAGGGACCGGAGCTTGGTAGCACTATCAGATACACGTATCAAGATTAAGGAGTATCTTCGCTCTCATTCGAAGGCGACCGGCCCGGCGAGGTCCGGTGAGTATTCGATGACTGCTGAACACCAGTCGAGCGGGAAGGACTCCACTTACGGAAAGCCTCGACGTCAAACGTTGTCAGATCCTGCAAGGAGGGAACAAGATCGACTTGAGCTCCTGACCGAGACGAAACGTCTGAGCGTAGCGGAGCAAGGCCACTGAAATGCTTTACCTGGCGCATGATGACAACTGCGAAGTCTGAGTCGAGATCGTCGAGATCCTGAGGTGCTTTCTTGGTGAACTCCGAGGAAGCGAGATCCAACAGCTGATCCCTCGAGAACACGATCGACGGCTGTTGGTAGAACTCGTTCTCTCGATCTGGAGAATCCGAGGACCTTCTAGGATCATCGCGCCTGTAAGTGTCTTCGTCGCTCGAGCTGGTAGCGCTCCAAATATCTTGTATACGCTGCTGATTATAGAAGTGGCCGGAAAGACTATGGAGCAGGGAAGCTCCTTGTGGAGAGACTCGCATGAAGTTCGGATCTGTAACGCCCTGCATCATAGACGACGCGTTGAAATGTTGCTCCAAGACCGCTTTGGCAGCAAGAGCCAATTGTTGCTTCGGAGCACTTATTTTGATGCCCTGCACTACGAAAGTGTAATCTCGATCCGCCGTGGCGTCACTCGTGCTCAGTGAGTGCTGGAGAGGTGGAGGCTTCGGAGCAGACTCCTGAGGGCTCAAGGGTGCTCCTTGCGAAGGCGAGGTGGCCACCGAGTTCTCGTAGCTGCCTCCGCTGGAGTCGTCCTGAGATGATTGTTCACGGACGGGCGATGCATTCCGTCTGATGGTTTCTTCGATCAGTTGCTTCGCTTGTCTGGAAACGGAGGAGGGCTCAAAATTGAAGACCGTCAAATTTGCCGAGCAAGAGGACGTGGACACCTCGGCTCTGGGGCTTTCCAGAATAAAAAAAGAGGTCTACTCACGAAATGCTTTCTTCGGTGGGGCCAGTGATTTGTACTAATCTGTCCCTTGCTCCAGGGCTCACTGGAAATTATCGACATGGTCTTTAGAGGAATGATTGATGATCACTAATGGGATCGTAGCCGTTCCTTTCGGCTCTAGTCAAGTTAGTACGCATGCGTTCCAGAAGCGTGTACCTCTTTGGAAGGAAATCACGGTTTCACTCAATTCCTCGATCATGTGCACCCTTCGGCCTTTAATTCCCATCACTGCGAAAAACGTTAGGTAAATAATGACTCCAGATGTGAAGGCGGTCTCCCGCCTAGTTCGGCCCGGTTAATATTGCGATGGATGCAGCCAAGGAACACCTTGATACCCTCCCGGAAGCCATCCCAGAAAAATCGGAGGGAACAGAAAACCACTCGATTCCGCTAGCATACCTTTGCCTGAGTCGGCATTCCTGATGACGACCTCATCCTTGAGGAAGTTTCGACCCGGTACCTTGGAGGGCTTTCCGTACTTTCCCGAAGATCTGAGGACTTCGCCTGGCATGAACGGAGGTTGAACTGCTTGCACTTGTTGTAAGGGCACGTTCGCCAGAACGTTAGGTTGTACACTCTGCATCGTGGGCCCGAGTGGAAATTGAGTGAGTGGGATGTACTGAGGAATGATCATAGTTGCTGGTCCATTGGCTTGCACGAGAGGCTGCTGGAAAAGTGGGGGTCCCATGACTCCCACCTGACTAACAGACTGGTTTTGGGCGATCGACGATACCGAACAAGTCTCGGGCTGGAGGAAGTCGAGGCCAACTTTAGATTTTCCCGCGGAGAATTCGGGAATATGATCCTCTGATTTGATTTTTTCATTTCTCTCTCGTGATTATCTTGGAGATGCAGCGACGCAAGAAATGGTACCTCAAGTTTTTTGTAGTATTCGGCAACATCGTCGGTCGGCCTCCACTTAAGGCATCTCAGCTCTAGGATCTCCAACAATTCTGTCCTACAAGTCGCATCCAAACGGTCGTCCCGAGCGGCGGATCTCAACGTCACCATGTAAACATCCAATTGATCTTTGTGACTGGCGTCTATGTGAGCACCTCGTAATTTGAGTAGTTGACAAACCCGCGTGACCAACGCGGTAGTGGTCGTTTCGAAATTGCCATTCGAGATATTCACGTGCAGATTCTCCAGCTCTCGCAGGACGTCATCCTCTGGAAAACAAACGGAGCATTCTAGATCCGCGCCCAATCGGATCCCAAATCTCGCCGGGACATATCCGGCAATAGATGCTCCGCACGCGACGCTCCGACTTGCGAGACTGCCGAGGAGCTCACATTTCTGAGAAAACTATCTTGACTCACCATTGATGCTTTCCACGTTTGCGTATGTGAGTGCTACGGGAGAAACGAGAGGCGGAATATTCTCTGATTCACCCGAAGAACCCAGCTTCAGAGGCCGCGGCTTAGACAGCTTCTGAACGCATTTCACCGACGATGAGGACTTCGACACTTGGAGCGGGGCCGCCAACGACATCTTGTGTCCGCCTTGGGATTTCACTGTGAACAATCGACTCGATTAGCTCATTGACTGCATCGGAGTCTTCCGCACGGTTGGAGCAGGTGCCGGCAGCGGAAGACGGGAGACCCCCGGGTCGGTGTCGGAGCCGAAGCTCCCATTGTTGTTGTAATTTCGAGTTCGAGGATTCCGTGCGCGAGTATTCCCCACGACCTCTTCTAAGGCAACATTTTCCCGGTGTTCTCGAGTGCCGCTCTCGTCCCATGATATACCGATGATGCCTGCTCTATTCGGTGAGTTTTACAGTCCCCTGCGAGGACGCTATTTTAGACCATCAGCGGGGAATGTGTAGAGAGTTTACGACGTTTCGATTCTATAGCACTCGTTTCGGACTGTGTCGATCGAACACACTATCGAGGTGCTTCTGTGATCGACGGCGAATACATCGATGCTCATACCGTCAAAATCAATAACGCTCCAGACCCATCGGCGGTGACCCGGACTGGAAGCCGAACCGCGGCGACAGCTCCACTTGACACAGTTCTGCCAATGCTCAAACAGCAGACTCGCGGAATCAGGAACAGGAGTTCTCCCGGAAAATCCTATAATTTCAAGATCACGAGGACAAGAGCTCGCGGAAAATATATGGGTAGTTTCTTTCGCTGCGCATGGGAGCTGCGAGTGCAGCTGTCATTCGGCGCAAGGATCGGAGTAGCTATAGCGGGTCCTGGAGCAGCGTCTCTTTTCCCAGGCAGGCTAGCGCCCGACCTACGGCTTACCCGCCGCAGGATCGGAGCATACCGCTGCGCATCCTCACGCTTTGATACTACCCATCACAGACCCTATGTAACTCTGTGATATCAGATGATAGAAAGACACCTGACTCCGCCAGATGATACGAGAGGGTGGTCCCGAGTGTGCCGATAGCATCGCTACGCGCCGACTGTTTTCGCGAGAATGCGGCCAATTCTCACCTGAGGGTCGAGCGGTGCGCTTCCGACACGGAGAAGAGCTCCCGGGTCCGGAAAAATTTGATATCAGGTCCTCAGAATCCGCATCGGACCGCAGACCAAGATGTCCGGTGTGGAGAAATGACGACAACAGCAGCGCCACCAAACACACAGCGGCGGGACGGAGAACCTCACTCCGGGTTCGTGTATTCGAAAATCTGCCGGGAAAAGCTCTCCCTCAGAACCTCAGGGTATCGTTTGAGGCCGATGGGAAGCTCTGTAGGAGTTTCATCCATCTATATGTCCAAGGATCCGGACGGTTCTGAGAGCGCCGAGCGATCACTAGCGAGGGCGTCGACGACCCCGGCGGCGGTGTCGGCGGAGCCAGCGCGTGTATAGGTAGCACTCCGCGCAGGTGAATAATTCCAGGCAAGGCCAGGACAGAGGTGTGTCCCCTGTATTCCGAGTGATTCTAATCTGATCTTGGAGCATCTCGCTTCGGGATTCCGACTCCGACCCTATCTTTGTCCCCTCATGGAGATCCTGGAGAAAAGTCGACGCTTCGGCCTGTGAGCGCGCGGCAAGTCCCCGTACGCGGGAATATGGATTTCGTGTCGTTTTCGTCCCTTCTCCAGATCGGGGTTCAGCTGACGTTTCACTCCGTCCGGAAACGCTCGGCTGAAATCCGAGCTCGGCGGACGACCAGAGAGTCATGGCGGTGCGGAGCTACTCCTGAGTGAGTCACTCATACGCGTCATAGCTCGAGCAACATTGAGCTCCGCATACCCAGCTTGAACTTCGATACTCGGCTACCCCCGGCGAGAGTAAAGCGTTCCCATTCGGTTTCGACAACACCAGAGACCGCACTTTTGACAAACGAAGGCAGAATGCTCAGACTCTGGATCGATTAGGTCAGGGCAATCGGACATGCTTCATGTAGGGCGTATTTTTACAATAACTTCCGCATATGCTTGTGCAGCCCCATCCCTCGAGGAGGAGTTGAGGAACAGTTTCATCCGCGTAAGCCCGCACTGATGACGATGACTTGTCGAATCGAATCCGAGCGGGTTTCATTCTCGGGTGCTGGACGCGGTCTGACAACCCCCACCTAACCCCTTCCCAACTTCTGCGAAGGGCCTTCGGAATCCTCGAAGAGAGACTCGAGGCACGGAGATGTGGTTGATTCGATTTGAGAGGAGAATAAACGATCTGACATGGCGTCAGGATGGAGAACGATCCCATCGGGGCCCTGCCCGAGGTCGCACACACCGATCAGGCACTCCGGTTTCGACAGAGTCAACGAGCCACTATTCCGGATCTTCGACTGGTATTTCTGCATCCCTATCAAACTGGGACCGAACGCAGTTACGTGGCAGGAGCAGCCAAGAAAGTTGTGTTTGGATACCATAGTCGCCCGAAGCTCGAGTCTGTAATGCTCTTAGTGAGTGAGCTGAGGTCCCCTATCAGGACGGAGGCCATAAGGGCTCCCCGTCAGAATTCGCTTCAAGGAAACACTTGTCGATGCGCTCTGCTCTTCGGGGAGATGATCGACAGCATGACCTTGAGTTGTGACCCCGTAAACAGAATCTCTGTAACGGTCAACCACCGTCCGACCTAGTGAGCAAATAGGTCACAAAGCGGTCCGCGCGCAAAGTTCAACCACCGCGCGGAACGCATGATAAAAACCGAATTCATGGACGTGGGGGCCGACCTGATGCCGGTGTTGTCAATATTACCGGAATCCAGGGAACATAGATCCACATAAGCGGAAGCACTCTGCCGTCCCAGGATGGATGTAACGATTGGAAATTCTGGTCTCCGACAGTACGGGATGAGCCCCTCAGAGCGTGAAAGCGGCGGCGGCGGCAAGCGGGTGAGGTTCCAATGCAGCAATGCTACGTGTCGGGAGCCCAAACCTCCGAGTTCGGATCGGGAGATGCTCTCAGGTGAAATTTCAGGTCGAGAATATCTTGAGCTCTCGAAGCGGATCCCCGAGGAGCTCGGAAACCCATACCCAAAGGAGGCGCCCGGCGACCCGACACAGTATGCGCCCTTTGATCTGGGACCCTTACGACAAGACATTATGCTGACGGCGGACAACCTCTGGCATGGATCGTACCACGGATACTTTTCTCGTTCGCCTGTTTCCGTAATTTCCCCGGAGCGCTATTATCTCGAATCGGGGTCCTTCTCGGAAGGTAGGGGGTCCTTGTGTTCACAGTATCGTATGATTAAATCGGAGTAACCGCCGCTATTGATACATGGTATGCACGGCGCGCTTCCAGCGAGCGGAAGAATTATTCCGCTCCATGGGATGTCGAGGAGAAAAGACGTCTTCCGTGTGGTCGCGAGCCTGCGGAAACCTCATCTGCCAGCCCTTGTATCCTCAGACGCAATGTGCTCCCGAAGGAAGCGAACGAGAGCGAGTCTTGGTCCGGGCAGAGACCAAGCACATTCAATAATTAGCTATAGGAGCAGAAGTCGTTTAACACTTGGCGAGAACCTTCCGGGAGTATTCTGGTCATATAGAACTCCGGAGAACCGCGGAGCATCGTTCCTGGGATCGGGGGAAAGCCGCTCATGCTGCAAGGAATTCGCCGAACAAACCGGCGAACGATAGCGTGGGGTCCCAAATAAAGGCAAGGGATATGCTGGCAAATCGGTGGCAGCACTGAGCTTTGTCGGTCCTGATGGCTGATACATCCTCACCGTCAGATCCGGGAGCTTCATGCAACCGAGGGATCAGATCCTCTAAGCCTCCAGACGTGCCGCAGTGTTTTGGTGCATCGCAAGTCTATTCGGCCAGGCAAGGTTTACGCTGAATGGTACGCTCCAGATGCTCGACGTCAATCTGGACCTCTCTCTCTGTGGTAAATTATTCACCCCTTCATACTCTGGCCGATACCCTCAGGTACGAATCCTGACTGCTTCAGCGACGATACATAACTTGTGGGCCTACGACACGGTATCAACTGGGTCCCGGAATGAGGTCAATTGCCCTCTCCCTTTGGGGAATCTCCAAAAACGCCGGCACCAAACTCATTCGATGCCGGAGCGGTGTTTGCTGTTAGAGAGCATGGTTTGGCGATTGAAATTCCGGAAAATTCTGTCGGATCCTCGAAGTGCCCCAATTTCACTTGACCAGATCGTATTGCTTGAGTGAATCTGAACTGTCTGTTGTGGTCGCGATTCGAGAGGCCGGCTTTCCACTGCGAAATGTCGGGCTCCGCGGTGTCTCGCAACATGAGATCCCTCCAACGATTCAACCCTACGGAGATGGGTCTAACAGGAGGCTGGAGGGAAATTCCTCTCTCAGCGAGTGATGTTTCCGGGGCGAGAATTTTCGATCGTCCAGGTGGATACGTGAAACACGACTTGATTTTTCCCAGAGCTCCTGTCCAAGCGGTGGAGGATAATCTGAACAAATGGCAGAGGAACATGGTTCAAGACCTCCAGAGAAACAACGGAAGGGTAAGTTTCTAGTTTTCGCCAACAATCCTGCTCTAGCGTTATCAGAAACCACACATTGATGCGGAAAATGTTCCTCCAAAATCGACACGCAATAGGAGTGGAAATAAATTTTCGGTGACCGATTGCGAAAGTCTCATCCAAGCCGTCGCCTTGAAGTCATCCCCTGGGGTATTAGACCGCACTCCGCGAGGAATAAGCGCCCACGATTTCCCGGCGAGACACAGCGATTTTCTGCCGTTCATTAGTTGTGCGTGGGCTGTGTGAAACCTCCCATGAAGGAATATTCCTCTGGCCAGCGACAAGCCCCAGCGAGGGGCTCGGCAAATCACGCGGTGGGCTGACAGATCTTACCCCCACACGTTCTGCCGATTCTTTTGAATCCCCGTGCGCGACAGGATCTTCCGTTCGGCGACCACAAGTGCGCCCCGCGATGTCCGCACAGGCTTTAATCCTCGATCTCCTACGGGATGTTGGAGTATTCACACCGGCATATGAACCTCTGTCCGGGTCGAAAGGCGTCGAGGAGTTCTACAGGCTCGAGCTACAGATAACGAGATGGTTTGGGTGATTTTTCCCTGCGGCAGACGAGCCCGCCCCCGTGATATGTTCGTCGAAAGCATTCCGATGAACATCAGACGATCAGACCGCGGTTCGGTAGCACTTGGCGCCCACTACGAGTGAACGCCATGACTCATATCCATCTGAACAGCGACTCATCTTTGGATGGGTTCATGGGAAATTCCTTCCTTCCAAGACTTCCAATCCGGAATATGATACATATATACAGTAGACTGCGCGGCTTCGCTCACATGCGACGGGTACTCCATTCTGCGAATTAATCTAGGGCGCTCCGATTTTTTCGGATGGGACATCTGCCGTCACAACAATGATTAAGAATAAGCATTCCGATATCATCATGATGTTGAGACCGGAAGTCGGTATCCAGGTGGAACACGTAGCTCTCGGCGAGTTAGTCGCCATATTCAAATGTTAATAAGCGTCGGCGAGATTTAATTCGAATCAATAGAATTCGATGACCGTCAGTCGTCCCGTTTCTCATCGAGGATTCTTCTCGTGCGACCCAGTGTCGTAACTTTTTCGGAGGCACGGAACTTTGAATGCAAGCTATGATGCTGTACACCGGCACCAGACACCTCTAGAATAGAGGGCATTATCATAATAAGTCAGTCATAGCGATCCAATCGTTCATGGCCGAATAGACTTGCCCAGCGAAGCTACCTGTAAGGAGACACAGTGGACGGCAACGGGCTCCGAGCATTGGCACCACGATCGGCCAGCACAATCGGCTTACCCGTGAATTAGGTACGATCGTGCAGCTTTCGGTCCATCTTTGGAGCCTGTATGCCGGTCTGACGTAATGTGGCGTGCTTGAAATGCACTGATGCGGTTCCGAACACAGGTTCTCATTGTTCTGAGGTATGGCCTTCCCCAAGCGAGCTCCAGCTCGTGTAAGCTTTTGGACTCCTGAGCAAGAAGCGACCGCCTTCATGCCCTTCAAACACCAGCCGAAAGTGAGTGTTTTCTCGAGAAATATTCCCTCTTCCTGCGAATGGATGGCGACGTCCCAGCGATAAGCATGTTGCTAAGCGAACGAAATCTTCACCCCACAACATGAGCGCGAATTCATGAGAGTGTGGCGAACTCTCGAGTGGGTATATGTTCAAAGAGAAGTTCTGTCCAATAACGGCCCTCCTCGACCATTTCAGTATGCGTTGAGCTATTTATTTGTCATTCGAATTCAATTTTCTGGCTCGCTACAGAAGTGCCGAGTCAGCAACACCGGTCCCGAGAAAACAAGTTCACTAATGATATCCAACGATGAACCGAACGTTAGGTACTCGCACACGATGCGAGCTCGGTGGCGCCCTCCACGGCCCCGACCATGATTACATCTGCGATGTTTGGTGCCTCCAACCACATGAGGGAACTAGTAGCCAGGCTGTGGGCTTAAAATACCGACGAACTCTCCGGAGTCGAATGCCACGGGATCAGACATGATGTGAAGATGCTTTCTCGATAGTCGTGCTCGCGGCACCCCGATTCCGTCCGGCATTACGAAGGATTGGAACGGTTTCTGATTGGACTTCCTCTGTCATCCTTCATGGAGATCGAGCTATCTTCCTGCGGGTAGGACGTTGATCAAGAGAATTAGAACCGGGACATCGAGATCCCAGGAATGAAGAGGAGAACCGAGTATAGTATCCGAAGTCGGGGCATCGGAAAAAGATTCAAGATACCCCTGTTTCGAAGAGGTGTCGGCTCATTTCTAACTCTCGGCGCTGCTTTAGAAGCGGCAATTGACGTCGACGGTTTCTTGCCCGACGGGGTGACGCATGAATTGACCCGAGTCAAAGAAGTGCTGCGGAAATGAAATGATGCTGTGGTTAGCAAAAAACGCTAGAGATCCCCTCCGATGAGCGAGATTCGAGCGGAGGGTCTCGCACCTACCTGGTCTTCAACTTGCTACGAATCGTTTCTTTCATTTGTTTTGATTCGGACGGCTCCGGACTCCGCATCTCGTATTCCTTTGCAGCCTCCTCCAGCGCAACCGCGAAAGGTTTTGGGCTGCGGAAGGAAATGCAAATGAAATATATAATTCCATCAATGGTTTGAATATTTCAAATGCGGAAGAAGACAGAGCTCCGGGAGATGCAGCGAGGCATACGTACTCGAGAGCCAGAACGGTGAAGTCGCCGAGTGCGTCAAGCGGAACTCGACTCGCATCATCTCCGAGGATTTCCAGTATCCGGTCTATCGACTCAATTTTGTCTTTGTAAGTCTTGATCGCCTCTTCTTTGATGTCGGTAAGCGACGGAAGGCCTTGAATGACTTTATCCAACTGAAAAGTAAATTGCGTGAAATAAACTCAAAATTGAGCGATCGGGACAACCGAAACTGCAACATCTCTCACCGCTTCACTCGCAGCGATTCGCTGGCGACCCTTGAGTTTCGTGAACTCCACTAATTCTTCGACGTCGTTCTCTTTCTGACGGCGTCTCCGAGTGGCTTTTCCGGTGGTGGATTTCGACCTATCCGGGGTAGCTTGGACCTCGCGAATCGATGACTCGACAGTGGTCTCGCTGGCAGATGATCTCGCGACGGACATGTCCAATATGGAGATTTCTGGCGCTTTCCGCGGCATTTTCTGCGAATTAAACATCGAGTCAGTAGCTTGCCCGCAATGATCCCTTTTACCGAGGTAAACCGCTCTCCCGAGCGGAAAACATGCATAGAGCAGGAAGCGTCGAGCATCCCTATACGACCCGTGGCATCCTGCTTGGCGAAGCAGTATGTACTGTTCCAAGTCAAAGATCAAATCGACGAATCGTTCCTGTGGCCTCGCGGATGATTTCGGAGGTTCGATGAAACGATTGAACCTTAAGACCTGGGCAACTTCAGACCGCCGGACTGTCGTTAATGCTGTCCAGTATCTAAAGCCCGCTCTCTCAATGGCGAACAGCGTTCTCTTCGGCATTTAAGAGCTCAATCAGCAATCTCGCGAGTTCCTTTGGGATCTTCGATCGCCACCTCCCATTCTTCCGATCCAGGACGCGTGCGCCCGAGCGACCCCGGTGTGAGACAATTACCCCTCGGATCTATCACGAGAAAAACTCCGAGTTGTGCCCGAGTTGAGCCGAGTCGAAGAGCTCGTTCATCATTAAGGACTCAAACGGTCAGTTAGCTCAGAAGAGGGACTGAGTGGGCGAGCTCGGTACTTACGCTTTAATTTGGCTTGTATTAGACGGGGAAGACGGGGAAGACGGGGAAGACGGGGAAGACCGATTTCGGCAATGATAACAATGATTAATCTCTAGATTGCTCTCCTTTTGAGTACTAGAGTACAATTCTTTTTTTTGGCGCCGACGACGCGCAGACGACACAGCCCTCAACAACAAAGCAACAACAACATGACAGTGACAACTCCGACCCTCTCCCTTTCGCTTAAAAGAAGGCGCGAACCTTCCAGGGCGGGAGAGCCGCGGCGCGGATTGGCCCGCAAATCGTCGTAGGACACTCCCTTCCGCATGAGTTCACAAGCATTTCTGATCTCGCGTGACTTGGTCGTCTTCGATGCAATGTCCGATCGTATCATAGGATGGCATAGCTTGACCAAGATGTAATGATCTGACAAGAACGAGTGACCATGAAGACACTTCCCCGTCTCTGCGGGGTGTTCTGCGAGGAAGGACGTGATCCTTAAATACAGTCACTCAATGGGCGCATGAGGGGGAATGAAGCAAAAGGGGGGAGGAGCTTCACAGTGGAATTGTTCCATCGCGGGATTGGTGGGGTCAATGTCGACGATTCCGCGGCCGCAGCTCCCCGCATCGGAGGCTCCACCTCCTCTTCTCCGGTCACCTTCCTGAATGCTATAATCGTGATTCATCAATATCAGTAGTCTTGGAATTCTGCCGAGCGTACGGAGTATGGGAGGAATCGCGACTGAATCCGTGTGATCATAGCACTGCCGAATCATGCAGGTAGGGGCACCTGGCTTACCGCCCGAAAAGACACTTCTAAGCGAAAGATACAGTGTGAAGTACATTCAGTCGAACATGGTCGAGTACATAGGGGACTACATCTACCATGGCGGTCGATGCAATCTGACAGGTGTACGACAGAGTCACAAATGGATTGGGGAAATCACTCAAAAATCTCAGTCACTCATGCGCGTACCTTACGTGTATCAACACCAGAATTGACAGGGGCGTTGTATCAGTCTCGAATTCCAGATTAGCGACCAGGCTTCTAGAGAAGATCCCCGGGGATGATACACGTCCGATTCGTCACAATCGAGAACACCGATCATTGGAGTCGCATTCAGACGCGGCCATTCCGGACAGCAACGCTTATGAAAGGGTCCCGCTCATCGTCAGAGCAAGTTGCCTGATTTTTGCGTATACCGCTGCTCAGGGCTTCTAGAGACGGGAAATCGCGCGCCGCCATCCGGAGTTTTTCCGAGCTGGACATTGCTTCTCGTCTCGGGCATTGCTTTTGGCATAGCCCCCGAAGACGAATCAAGAGAGCGAATGCACCGAGGTGGATCAAGGCCGAGTAACTGCTCCCCCGTTAAGGAATTCCATGAGTGTATTCCTCCGGCAGCGTGATTCTGAGGCGGTTTTCCATGGGGAAAAAATTCACTTCGCAGTGAGCACGTTTACGCGACAATTACTGGAGGCGCTAACCACTCGACCGCCCGACGTCGGGTATCAACCGTTTCCTGCCGGTTGTTTGTGCATGGAATGGACTCGGATGAGACCCTGATTCTCCAAAACTCTCGCAAAAAGGATCCACTCGGTCCAGTTGTTTAATTTTTATAGCATCTGTTGCTCCGGGAACGGTTCTGTATACGCTACGCTCCGTTCATGCTTCCATGAGCTTCACTCGGAAAACTCCACTGTCCTTGGTAAAGAGATATTCGGCGAATAACCTGTTGGTCACGTTGTCAGACTGAGGGTCACCCGAGCTCGGAAATAGACTGCGTAAGAGCTTTTCAAGCCCAGCTTGGAAAGCACTCCCGAGCTGAGTCCCATCGAGGGGAATACTGACGTCGCGTCGGAGAAGGTTGCAGTTGATCATCCTTCTGTCAGAGCACGAGGGAATGAGCTCTTCGAGTGGAGCCTCCCGTGCATGCGAAAAACTCACTGCCCAGCAAGTCAAGTCCCATTTCCGAAAGGAGTCCTCCCGAGCCGCTGAATGTCGTCCGGCGTGTTCGAACAGGGATCAGCTTATCAAGCGGTCTTGTTTGAGCATGCCCATGTCCTTCATACATTGATTCCACTCCGGGTGCTAACGCCTGCTGCTTGTCGAGAGAACACTTTATCCTAGGGTCGAGCCAGTCACGTCGGGGGCGTGGCGAAAACCCGACGCAGCTCTGAGCGTATAGCACACCGAGTGCACCACGGCCAAACTTATTTGAGCCATGCTACTGTACCTACTGCTCGTCGCCGCTTACCCAAGCCAAGTAATTTCTCGTCGAAGCTCACCGAGCTCGTTTCGCTTCAGAGGTGCCTGAAGGTTTGCAGACGACAAGTGATCTTGTCAGCGTGTTTTCCGAAAGCTGATTCCCTTCCGGATTCCTTTCCGAAGAGGATCGGAACGATCGAAGAGAGCCGGAGGTGAAGCTTCAGATGCTGGGAGTGCTCTGTTCACTGTCAAATTGATCTTCGATCTCTATACTCGATTTCCGTGAGCGTAGAAACCTATCCGTGGTGGTAATCCATTCTTCAGCTGTGTCCAGATTGTCCGGTGAGTTGATCGTGGATTCAGACGCGAAAACCGTCAGGTAGGATACACAATCGTCCCCATGTCGGACACCTAGTTTCATCGGAAGTTTCAGAAGAATCAGAAGTACGCCGTCGATGGAGCTGTACGGCTTCTGTTCCCTTCAGTTCTTGGCTCTGAGCGCACACTCGACCAGTTCAGAAAAACATTCAGAACGTTCCTCATGGTGCATTGGGGTCATCATGATGGTACCTGACGCGAAGCCAAATCACTCGGGAATTCACAATGACCAGCGCGACAAGCACTCTTGCGGAACCTCGGTCGTGGCTTTCCGGCACCACAATCGGAGTTTCTGTCCCCGGTGGCTTCTTATCGCTCCTAAGCGTCGAAGCTTGAATTGTCCGATCGATCCCAACGCTGACGCCTGCCTCTTATTGTTCCTGAAGATCATTCTGTGGTGGATCACACCGCCAGGAAGATGCCGCCAGTCTCAGAAGGATCCCCGATCGAGGGTAATTCTTTAGCAAGTTTACTCCTTGTTCTCTGGTGCCGAAGCGAATTCCCGCTCTTCCGAATCTTCATCACCGACTCCCTTATCCTGGAAGGGTGAAAGCAGGCTGAGAGTATGCTCATCGAGTCTCCTATGGATACGGCACTTTTTTCTACGTCGGGAGCTAGGCCGCTCGGACGGGGATTTCCCGATTCATGGCAATATTCTCCGGATGTAGGGCTGCCGCTATGATCACCAGGAAAGGACATGACGTGCAGTAGATTCTGTTCCGGGATTAAAATCATATTCCTTATCCATTCCTCGTGAATCGAAAATTACATACATATATATTCCTCAATAATTGGGAACCACGGTTCTGGGACTTTGTTATGAGCGATCAGCCCTATTTTCGAGAGACTCGACGATGAGTTCGGAAAATAAACTTGCATATTGGTAAGCCCGTCACGCGGACGGATTCTGAACACGTCAACGCCTCATTGAGCCGTTCCAGTCCTTCAAACAGCAGACCAAAGTGGGTGACCAAAAGTTAACTGAGCTCGAGCGTGCCGGTGTCGGGCGCTAATTTCCAAAAGTCATTGCCCTCCAATACAGATGAGTGAGATTATGATGGCACGGCAGCGTTCTTAGCGCTCCATCATTGTGAGTCGAACATTCATGCGAGAGCGCAAATGAGGGCCATCGAACCGATTGACCGGAGCGAATTACGCAAGCGAGATTCCGTAGAGCTCAGCTCAGGCCCTTGCACCTTGCGGTCTGACTTCCATTAATCCTCTAATGATCGGATCCACGAATCCACGTATCTTGGCATCACGCTTTGCAACAACCGGAGCTACCTAAGTGAGCAAGAGAAAGTGTGGAAAGAGAAATCCACGAAAGCGCTCAGACAAATGTACGCCAAGTCGCTATGGAAGTTCAACAGGTTTGAGGTGACTAAGATACAATGGAAAGCGACATGTGTGCCCGCGCTAACCTACTGCAACTCGGTCCTGACAGCATCTGCGGATACGCGCAAGAGGTTGGAAACATCGCAGAGGGAAGCAGGCAAATGGGCTCTAGGGCAACCCACCTTCAACATAGCCTATGAGTTTATTGAGGGAGAACTGGGATGGGCTTCCTATGAGAGCAGAGAAGCCAAAGTAAATTCTTTACTTTGCTAGACTCGAGCGAATGCCGAGCTACCGGTGGCCAAAAGCCATCCTGGAGGCAATGAAGACATGCAACATCTTCAGTGAGGCGTACAAAAGAATGAAACACCTCAGCAGACTGTATGAGTGCGAGTTCGATGAACCGCAACATGTGGAATCTGAAGAACGTCACTGGAGAGCCTTCCGCAACGATGTGAGCGACCGCATCAGAACATTCACTGACAGGGAATGGAGGGAGAACATGGAAACCAAATCGAGCCTGAAAAGATACAGGCAACACAAAATGAACAGGGGCACAATCGATCATGTATATGACAACACAAGAGGGAGTACCCTCCTGGCAGGGGCCCGAGCCGGTTTCCTCAACACAAACTCCTTCAGAGCCAGGTTCGAAGAAATAGATGGAAAGTGTGAGCGGTGCGACTGCCACAACGAAACCCTGGAACATGTCATCATGGAGTGCGACGAAGAGAATAGCTCTGAGCCAGAGATCCGCAGAAGACTAGGCCTACACGAAGACTCAACACGGGAAACTGTAGAGCGAACAAAAAGAAGTCTAGAAAGATGGGAGCGGGAGACGAAGAGATATGTCCCCTGCAAACGTCGGATCAACCAACCTATAACCAGCTGAGAAGACTCGCCCCCGCGCATGGGGTCTCCTGGTTACAATGTAAACCTTGTAACACCAGGGATGGTTAATAAATCAATCAATCAATCAATCAATCGGTGTGCGTGAAGCAGTCTATATATAAATTATAATTTCCGTATTCGATCAGCAAGAAGAATCCTGTACTCCGTTGTAGCGCGGTATCCAACGAAGTCTCAAGTCTGACAAGATTCCGCCGCGACCGGGTCCGGACAAGCCAACAGTAGGCTGGGAATGGCCTGTGAAGGCTGAAAGACATTTTTTCGACGAAGATTTTCCAACCCGTAACGCCGCGAAATTCCGTACTCATGGCGGAAGCCAATCTGCCGGGGTGACTCGTTGAGCTGTC